AAACAGAAATTAAGTGTTGGCAAGGCTTTGAAGAAACTGTAAGGCTTTGATATTGCTATGGGAATGTAAAATACTGCAGCTGCTGCAAAGCACTGTTGGGCAGTTGCTCAAAGCATTAAATATAGAATTCCCATATGACTCAGCAATTCCACCCCCAGGTATACACCCAGAATAATTGAAAGCAGGAAATCAGACAGATACTTGTAGCCCAGTGTTTATTGCAAGATTATTTCTAATAGTCAAAAGGTAGAAACAACCCACATGTCCATCGGCTGATGATCAGATAAATAAGATGTGGTCTATACACACAATGAAGTGTTATTCAGCTATATAAAGGAGTAAAAATCTGACACATGCTACAATATGGATGAATCTTGAAAGCATTAGGCGAAATGAAAGAAGACAGACACAAAGGGAAATATCAAATATATATTTATATTTATATTTATATATTTTTTAGACGAAGTCTCACTTTGTTACTCAGGCTGGAGTGCAGTAGTGTGATCTCGGCTCACTGCAACCTCTGCCTCCCAGGTTCAAGCAATTTTTCTGCCTCAGCTTCCCAAGTAGCTGGGACTACAGGCACACACCGCCATGCCCAGCTAATTTTTTGTATTTTAGTAGAGACGGGATTTCACCATTTTGCCCAGGCTGGTCTCAAATTCCTGAGCTCAGGCAATCCACCTGTCTCATTCTCCCAAAGTGCTAGGATTACAGGTGTGAACCACTACATCCAGCCTAGGGAAATATATTTTATGATTTCCTATATATTAACTATCTAGAATTAGGAAATTTATATAAACAAAGGGTAGGTTAGACGTTACCAGAGGCTGAGAAGCAGGAGAAATGTGGAGTTATTGCTTAATGGATATAGAATTTCTCTTTGAGATCACAAAAAACATTTGGAAACAGCAGTGATGTTTCCACAGCATTGTGAGTGTACTTAATTCCACTTAATTGTACATTTAAAAATTGTTAAAGTGAAAAATTTTGTTTTATATACATATAAAACCTTTAAGATTAACATTTGAAAACTGTGATAATATATATTCTATATTTTATATAGATTTAACACTGTGGTAACGTATATGCTATATATTATATACATAAATATATAACTGTGGTTACATATATCTGTAATCACAGTTTTTAAATGTTAATTTTAAAATGTCAATTAAAACCTCCAAAACTGCTAAAATAAATATTGACAACTCACTTCTCCAAGATGGAACCTAAAGACAATGAAAGGAACTCAAGTAATTTAAATATGCTCTTAGTATCCTGAGGGGCCTGATTCCAGGAAACCCTGTTGATACCCTAATCCCAGGGTGTCCACCTTCCTTACAGTCAGCCTTTCATATCCTTGGGGTCCAAATCAGCTGATACAGAGGGTCAATCACAATATATCTCAGAAAGTGTTTTCTGATACAGTTATTGTATTAGTCTGTTTTCACATAGCTATGAAGAAATACCCAGAACTGGGAAATTATAAAGGAAAGAGGTTTAATTGACTCACAGTTCCACATGGCTGGGAAGGCCTTAGGAAACCTACAATCATGGCAGAAGGAAAAGAGAAGCAAGTCACATCTTATATGGTAGCAGGACAGGGAAAGAGAAGGGAAAATTGTTACTTTTAAACCATCAGGTACTGTGAGAATTGACTATCAGGAGAACAGTATGGAGCAAACCGCCCCCATGATACCATTACCTCCCACCAGGTCCCTCCCTTGAAATGTGGGGATTACAGTATTTGAGATGAGGGTGGTGATGACACAGAGCCAAACCATATCAGTTATAATTTTCTTTTATAGTATAATACAGTTCCACTAGTCCATATCTTTTCTCATATTTGGGACTATCATTTCTTTGAAAACTTTGCAGTCTGGTTAAGTTTGCAGTCATAATTCACTGTTTTAGATTGGAATACTCTGATTCCAGGGTACAAGCAATTCTTGTGCCGCAGCCTCCTGAGTAGCTGCTGGGACCACAGGCACGTGCCACCATGCCCGGCTACTTTTTAAAAACTTTTTTATAGAGACAGGGTTTTGCCACATTGGCCAGGCTTGTCTCAATCCCTGACCTCAAGTGATCCACCCACCTCGGCCTCCCAAAGTGCTGGGATTACAGGCGTGAACCACTGCACCCAGCCGAGAACCTATTTTTATGTTAGTAGTAGTTTATGTTTACTTTTCTGTGAAATGCCTGTTTAGGCTAAGTATTGCCATTTTATAGCGTTGTCTTTTTCTTATCAAGGTTTGAGAATGCTTTACTCATTTTAGATACTAACTCTATTAGACAAGAACAGCTATGCTACAGAAAACAAAATAAAAATAAATCCTAAAATCTCATTGGGTTAATTCTATGAAGTCTTACTTCCCATGTCCACAAAGCCCAGCATGACATAAGTAGCTTTATTCCGTGGTTGTTCATCAAATTATGACCCAGTGTGCCGGGCTGCTTCCATATTATCATTAGGCAATCGGTATTGTGTAGCTCCCAAGTTTATCAGGGCATGGCAAAAGAGTTGAAGGGTATCTGTCCAGAAAAGAGTCAACAGCAGGTTTGAGACTGCAGTGCTTTTAAAGTCCTGCTTGCAAGATTGACATCTGGCTGACATCTGGGAAGCTGGCTGGTGATCAGTGCCCTGTACTGACATGAAGTTTCTCCTAACCGAGAGGAGTAGCTCATTGTGCCTAGACTGGTGTTGCAAACTGAACACCAGATTTCCTTCTGGGGTGTGGATTTTGGGTTTATACTAGGCAGTACCTCCACTATAGCCTCTGGGGTGTTGAATCTCTAATGAGCTCCACAGGCAGAAACATTGCACATGTGTTAATGCATTTTTGTTTCTGTGGGAAGTGAGCTCTGTGTGACCCCTCCTGGGAGGAAGAGAGCATAAGGAAGCCAATGTGTGAACTCCTCTAGATTCCTCCTGTGTGTTTTCTCCCTATGATCTGCTGCTGAATATTTACTATGGCACTGTAATAAATCTTAACCATGAGTACAACTGTATACTATATCCCATGAGTCTTTGCAGCTCATTTCCCTGTCTACTTTAGGACTCCCATCACAGTGCCAGGAGTTACTTCTTCTTCTTCTTTTTTCAAGATGGAGTCTTGCTCTGTCACCCAGGCTGGAGTACAATGGCATGATCTTGGCTCACTGCAACCTACACTTTCTGGGTTCAAGTGATTCTCCTGCCTCAGCCTCCCAAGTAGCTGGGATTATAGGTGCCTGCCAACATGCCCAGATAATTTTTTGTATTTTTAGTAGAGACAGGATTTCACCATGTTGGCCAGGGTGGTCTCAAACTCCTGACCTCATGATATGCCCACCTCAGCATCTCAAAGTGCTGGGATTACAGGTGTGAGCCACCATGTCCGGACACCACAAGTTATTTGTAAGGGCTAGCCTTGGGATTGTCCACATCAGTTCTGCACACATCCAATTATTCAGAGCCTCTTCATATGTTCCCAACCCTTTAACTGTAAGTGAAGCCTGGAACTGAAGGGAAGCCAGGGGACTTTGGTGAGCATAAATGGTCTTTGCCATGCTGATTCTACTTCATTTGTTTGCATCTCTCATGGCTTTTCCAGCCTACAGTGATACTCTCTGTTAAAAGAGCCACCTGACATCCAGAAATGTTTCAAAAAGTCTTAAGGTCAGGGTCAATACTTTTGTCTTGTGCTCTGTCACATTAGTTCACCTCATAGGAGCCTCATCATCAGAGCTCAGTCCTCTGTATGTTCCCGGCAGTAATGTTATACTTAATTTAAGGTGTCAATCTAACCAGATTAAGGCATACCTGGCTAGCTGGTACAGCAGTATTTCTTGATATGTCTGTGAGGGTATTTCTGGAGGAGATTGGCTTGTGAATTGATGAACTGTCTGGGGAAGATCTACTCTCAATGTGCACGGGCAAATCCAGACAGCTGGGGGCCTAGATAAAACAAAAAGGCAGAGGAAGGGTGAATCTGCACTCTCTCTCTCAGAGCTGAGACATGTGTCTTCTACATGCCTTCTTCTACTGTGGCTTGGCTTTTCATTTTTTATCACGTATTTTGATACATGACTAAAACAACTAATGTAAGTATTTGTGTGTGTGTGTGTGTGTGTGTGTGTGTGTGTGTGTGTGTGTGTGATGGAATTTCACTCTGTTGCTCAGGCTGGAGTGCAGTGGTGCCATTTCGGCTCACTGCAACCTCCACCTCTGGGGTGCAAGTGATTCTCGGGCCTCAGCTTCCAGAGTTGCTGGGATTATAGGCACACACCACCACGCCCAGCTAATTTTTGTGTTTTCAGTAGAGATAAGGTTTTGCCATGTTGCCCAGGATGGTCTCAAACTCATGAGCTCAAGCTGTCCAACCTCCTTGACCTCCCAAAGTGCTGGAATTACAGGCATGAGCCACTGTGCCTGGCCAGTATTATTTTTTGTGGCTTGTGTTATGTTTCCACTAAAGTAGTCTTCCCTCAAAGGATAAAAATATTTTCCTTAATTTCTTCTGGTAAAATTTAAGTTTTTCTGTTTATAGTTAAGAGTAAATGTACCTGAAATATACTTTATGTAAGGAATGAAGTAGACACTCAGGAATAAGAGGGAGGAACATATGGTCAGTGCAGAAGAAAATTATCTGTAAAAACACATCCCAGGATGGGAAACAACAGAGCATATATGAGGAAATAACTGAACATAGAGGGGTGTGGCTGGAGCAGACAGAGCCAGGGGAGACTTGTGCAAAATGATGATGGAGATGTAGGTATAGGGCATGTACATATAAGGCAGATGATAGAGGACCTCATGAGGCTATTGCCCCATAGAAGAAAGGCAGCCAGGAACAGAGGTCAGGAGTGAAGGTTTGTGACTATGAGTGGAAGGGTAGTGGAGGGTAGGGAAAGGGGCAGATGAAAAAGTCACTGAAGCCCACAGGGGAGAGGAGAAGTCCAGGCTTTGGGGTTAAGAGAATCATCACTCATCTCAACTAACGACGCCTTGGATGCCTTTTCCTTTCTGCAAGCAGAAAGAGAGAGCTACAGAAGAGAGACTCAGCAAGCTAAGTGTGTTGGGATGACCTTTAGCTGGTCTGAGACTCCAGTAGGAATGGACGTCAGCACTGAGGGTCATAAGGCCCCTGCTCTATGGCCTCCAGCCTGGCCAGGGCTCTCAGACTCCTATGGACGTCGGACTTCCCAGGTTGGGGACAGACACAAAGCAATCTCAGCCTTTCTAACTGCCCTTTATGTGCAGAGAGGAGGCAGCTGTGCAGCACTGTGGAGTCACTGCTGGCACAGAAGTACACAGATGTCTGGGAGCCGGTAGTGGACTCCAGAGTGAGGGGGAAATCCTCTGTGTTTGATCTAGAGACATTGTAGCCATCTGGGACTTCTCCTTTGCTAACGTCTTGAACACCATATGAATAATGGATCAGCCTCAGCCCATGCCCCAGGTCTTGTCGATACCAGAACATATAACGATGGTTCTCAGTCTGGTGACATCTCAGAGTCACTGGTGTTCCTGTCTCTGTGACCTTGTGTCTTGGGCTCTGGGTGATTCTACCATCCATGTGTCCTGTAATAGAAAACAACAGATGCTGTCAACCCAAAAAAAGGCTTGTATTGAGGTCTTGGGAATTTCAGGGAAGGAAGCCCACCTATGACCAGCCCTCACCTGCCCACAGCAGACAAAGGGGCACGTAGAAGAAGAGCCTGATGCCCATTTCAGCTCCAGGGCAGAACTCATGTCTCTCAGCCCTGCATGGGGGAAATAGAACTTAGGTTCTCAGTGACTCGATGACATCAATGCCCCTGTCAAAGAGTTGAGCTGCAAAGTTAACCTGCCACACCCCTTCCATTCTCCACAAATATAAATCAAGTATACACATACACACACACACACACACACAAAGAAAAAAAATGAATATATGTAATTTATGGTATATACAGCAATATTTATAGAACATATATACAATTTAATAGCTCAGAATGGAAAGAATTTGTAGGCTATTTTTAAAGATATAAGTCCATATGCTCTTTGCAAGATTTTAGAAAGAAAATGCATTCCTTTCTGAATATTTTATTCCCATTAGGATACAATTATTCATGTATATACTATTTTAATTGTTTCTAGTGTTTATGTAGTCTAAGGGACATTTTCATGGCAGTCTGGTGTCTTTTATTACTCATCTGCTCAAATTCGCCTCTAAGTACCTTTTACTAGATTTTCTCTTTTCTCAAACTCTGGATAACTGGATGTCAGCCTACAGTGATACTCTCTGTTAAAAGAACCACCTGACATCCAGAAATGTTTCAAAAGGTCTTAAGGTCAGGGTCAATACAATTTGTATATTGTCTTGTGCTCTGTCACGTTAGTTCACCTCATAGGAGCCTCATCATCAGAGCTCAGACCTCTGTGTGTTCCCAGCAGTAATGTGATACTTAATTTAAGGTGTCAGTATAACAGATTAAGGCATGCCTGGCTAGCTGGTACAGCAGTATTTCTTGATATGTCTGTGAGGGTATTTCTGGAGGAGATTGGCTTGCGAATTGATGAACTGTGTGGGGAAGATCCACTCTCAATGTGCACGGGCAATATCGAGTCAGCTGGGGGCCTAGATAAAACAAAAAGGCAGAGGAAGGGTGAATCTGCACTCTGTCTCTTGGAGCTGAGACATGTGTCTTCTACTGCCCTTGGATATCAGAACTCCTGACCTCAGATGATCTACCTGTCTCAGCTTCCCAAAGTGCAGGGATTATAGGCATGAGCTACCGTGCCCGGCCTTGAACAGAATTTTTTCAAGACATTGTCATTTTGTATTCTCTTTTTCAAAGTGATCCCTAAAATTTTATAAGCCTCATGCTCCACAAAACTTGGATCTACTTTGCATATACGTTCATTATATTTTTGTTGAATGACTGAAGAAAGAAGAAATGAATGGTTCTCTGAGTCCAGGCAGACCCCTGAAGCGGTGAAACATAAACCTAGTCTATTCAGCTACAAATAAGCTCAGAGCCTTAAGTGAGCAGAGACCCATGTAAGTCTGTTGGAGACTCAGAATGAGTCACAATGAACTTGGAAGAGATAGTTCACATATGCCATTATAAGAATTCTGAATGAATGAAAGAAAATCGTCGTCTTTTTCAAAGAGAAGTGTCTTCGAGGGTCATCCCATTCCATCACTGTCAAAGTTTAAGCTGCCCCTGAAAGCAAGGTCTGCGTCATGGACTTTGTTGAAAGTAGTTTATCTGGGAAGGGATCTCAGGAATTAGAAATAATAAGAGAGCTTGGAGAATAAAACAGGGAGAGAGGGAACCAGGACAAAGGTATAATATTGAGTTTATGCTGGAGCAACAGGAGATGGAATCTATCAGGACCTTTGAGAACACATAGGATGCCTCTCTGGAGTGTCTGCATGAATGGGCAGGCTGGAGCTTTTGTCCCCTATTCTGTCCTACCAGGAGCATTAGGATCTCTGGCTGTCTTTGAGTACAACCCAAGTTGTCTCAGATAATATCAGAGAAGAGCCCTGGGGAGGAAGCAGGGAGACTCTCAGCATGCATCTGGGGAGGGGCACTGTCCGTACCAGGTGGATGGAGACTTGCACATAACTGTCCACTGCAGTGAGGCTGAAATCAGAGGTGGGCAGTGAGGATGTGATGGAAGGCACTAGAGGTTCCTCTATAATGGTCTCCTTTCCAAGTAAACCGTCCGTTCTTCTATCAGCTTTCTTGTGTAATGGCCAATTGCTCTGAATTGACAACTTTCTGGGAGCATCACACCTTCTTGCATATCAGACTCAGTTTCAAGCAGGAAATGCTATAAGGGGCAACATTTTCACTTTCTCTTAAGACACAACCGTTTATGTTAGTTTTATCAATGAATTATCAGACTACTATATTTGCATTTTAGATGACTTTGAGTCTGAATCATAGGTGAATCAGACAAAAGTAATCTGTGTTTGCCTTTGTTACCAGAGTCCACAAAGTAAATAACTGCCTGAATAGAGATTTGTCAGAGAATTCATAGGGACCTAAGATGTATTGAGCCTATACTATGTATTAGACTGTTTTATTTACAAGTATAAAATTTCTGCAAGACATATATTATTGTCTTCAGTTTACAAGTGAGAAAACTTAGCCAAATGCTTTTTAAGTCACCAACCCAAGGGATCAGAAGATGAACCACTGAGGTCTCCTCATCTCTGAGAATCTTCCTCTTCAACATGTAGCCTCCCAAGTGAAAGATGTTATTCATGTGATTTGTGTCAGATGCATTGTTTCTAAAAGAGACATTTGGGTCAATGTTTCCAATGTTGAAGGTATCTTCCTCTACCAAAATGTATAGGGAAGAGTAACTTCAACCATAGGTCGAAAGTCAGTATGGCCTAGGTGTGAGTCCAACTTCTGATATTTGTTAGCTGTATCTCCTTTGGAAAATCATCTAAATTCTCTAATGGTTTTTTACCTGTCATATGGGAGCAAATTGTTCTCCCTTATGAAGTTCTTAAGAAATTAATTGAACTAATATACTTGGTATATGGCCCAGAGAAAATGGGATCAGCAATACTGGTTGTTATTAGCAATCAACAAGGGAATTTTCTATAAGTTCACATAAAAGAGGTAGAATTCAATTGGTCTCTGTCCACTGTGTACTTGCACATGCACCTGCAAATGGCCATGTCATACACTTGGTAGTTACTGTACTGGCTGTGGTACATGTGCACCCAACGCTTCCCCCAACCCACTCTCACCTCCCTGCCCTGTGCTGCCCTGGGCTGTGCCCTAGAAGACTGATTTCAGCAAAGAGTGCTAACCAGGCTTCCAGCTGGGCTTTCCAATGGAAGACACCAGCTGGACATTGAAGGGTAGTGAAGGGAGAGTTCAGAGTATCTGGGCTTTCCCTTCCTAGCTTCTGGTCCTGAGTTCTTCCCTTTGGAAACTTTTCTCATTATTTGCATGCACCAGCAGTAACATAGCATTTCCCTCCCACCCCTTTCTCCACAGGCTCAGGAGTTGTACTGGTTTCCCATGTGCTGGAAACCCCAGGCCCCTCAAACAGTTCTTGGTGTCCCTAAGTCTGTTTACCCCTATGAACATAGTCCTTTGATTAAATTGTTGTCACTTCAACCTTTTTGAGTAGTCATCTATTCCTTGCTGGAAAACTGACTGATTCAAATGACTTTCATACATTGTAAATGCATGTATGAATAATTAGGGATATATTATCTTGCCAGACTTTAAACTTCTTAAAGACAAAATGTGTAATTCGAAAAATTACATCTCATTTTCTATATTCTAAGGAAATTTTTAACATAATAGGTATTCCAGGAATATCTACTGAATAAATTAACAAGCAAACAACAACCAAACTATAAAACTATATATAATAAATTTTCATGAACAAGATGACAGAAAATATAAAATGTATTCTCCTGCCTTCCATTTCTGTGCTGTGTAGGTTGATAATTGTCTTTTGGGACTGAGTATCCTTAAATGTCCTCCAACAATCTCTCTCTTTCTCTTAATGTAAGAGCTAGAAGATTTGAAAATATGTTTCCCAGATTCTCCTGAGAGCAAGTTTCTGAAAACAGCTTTGCTTCCTCCAATAAGCTATACTTGTGGAAAAGTTGGAAGCAGAATGAAGACTTTTGTCGGACAGCAACAGACAGGTGGATTTGCAATGACCTCTGGATACTTTCTGTGAATCACCCTCTTGGTCACTGCAAGACCACTGTGACACCCAACTCTTTTCTGTAGTCCCTGGCCTGGGCAAAAGTAGCAAATTCAGCTTTTCTGCTCACTGGTGGTGGACCTGAGGGCAAACTCCAGCCTTCTGAGACCTTCCCACTTCTCAGCCTTCCATTGGTTTATAACCACTCATTCCCTCTATTAACTGCTATTCTCCTTGAAATTCCTAGAGGGTTCTGTTTCTTTGACTGAACGTCTAGTGTACTGGAAATGCCCCTTGTCACTATGCATCTATATTAGGACATATCGTGGCTCCATTCTATCCAGAACTAAGACAGAACGAATCTTCTCCGGCTGGAAGCTGTATGTCCTGGAGGTTTGCAGGCCATAAGCCATAGTAACCACATTCCATAATATGCGACCCTCTTCTACTCCTGGGCTAGTCTTGAGATGGAAGAATAGTGCTCTACTGTAGCTCATTGACCAAGGCCCAGGAAACACCATAGACTTTTAGAAGTTTTATTTGGGAGGCATGCAGTCATAGGTTTGGATCCTGGCTTTGATCCTTAGAAATATGAAATATGGGAGAAGTTTATGAGCTATAGCTTCCTATCTATAAAATGGTACACTGAAATCTTCATTTATAAAGTGGTTATGCTAATGTCTATCTTTGTGTTAAAACACACAAACAGTAAGACCATTTGAGGAGTTTGAGACTAATCTGGACAACATGACAAGGCCTTATTGCTACAAAAATAAAAAAAAAAAAATAGCCAGAAACATCATCTTGTAGCGATGTGTCCCTGTAGTCATAGCTACTCAGGCGACTGAGGCAGGAGGATTGCTTGAACCCAGGAGTTCAAGGCTACGATGAGCCATGATTACACCACTGTACTCCAGTCTGGGTGACAGAGTAAGACCCTGTCTCAAAAAAGGAAAAAAAAAAAAAACACAAAACACAACGTCTACTGCTATGGTTTGACTGTGTCCCTAAAAAATTTATTATATATTGGAAACTTGGTTCCCAATACAGCATCATTGAGAGTTAGGACCTTTGGGAAGTGATTAGGTCTTAAGGATTCTGCCCTCATGAATATTAATCCATTCATGGATTAATGGGTTATGGAGGGAATGGGTTAGTTATTGCTAGGGTGGATCTGTTATAAAAGCCAGTTTGGCCATCTCTCCTGAGACACCTCATATGGGATGCCCTGTGCCACCGAGGGACTCTGCAGAGTCCTCACCAGCAAGAAGGTCCTCACAAGATGTGGGTCCTTGACCTTGGACTTCCCAGCCTCCAGAACTGTAAGAAACAAATTTAGATTCTTTATAAAGTATCCAGTCTGAGGTATTCTATATGACAACAGAAAACACACTAAAACATATACCCATATGTTCCACAGAGGAGGAGCTCCTGCCACTTGCAAGGAATTAGAAAGATGTGATAATTTCCAGTGTGTCTGGAGTCCACACGTGCAGGAGCTCTCATGAGCTCAGCAGGGCAGGGAAAAATGTTAGAAAAGAACTAGAAGCATCCCTGGGGCTTGGCTAACGCTGTGTGGCAGCCCCTACCTTCTTCTTCCTATTTGCATCCCCAGCTGAGACAGGAAGGTTTGGGTACAGAAAGCCAGTAACTCTGCAGGGCTGTGCCTAAGCTGCTGGCACAGAGGTACAGGGCTGAGTCCCCCAGATCCAAGGAGCTTATGTTCAGTTCAGAATGATAGTCACTGAACTGTCGAGCTGTGAATCGATCGGGGATGCTTCCTTTATCACTTTGCATCTTTTCATAATATGAAATGAGGAACTGGAGGCCCTGACCTGGACCCTGCTGGTACCAGTACACAGTGTCATGTCCAGGGATAGGATAGCATTTCAGATTGGCTGTTTCCCTCTTTTCTTTGATCAGGTGTCTTGGGTGCTGGATGACTCCAGCAGCCACTGAACCTGTGGAGGAAAGAGACAGAAGCTCAGGAGAGTTTGACACTTCAGCAACGATTGAACGCTGTGGATGCAGGGAAGTCCCACCTGTGCTCAGGACTCACCTGTTCCCAGGAGACAAAGCATGACACAGCAGAGGAGCCTGGTGTCCCTGGTAGAGTCAGGCAGGACAGGACTAGGCATTTCCCTACTCAGGGTGCTGGTCTCCTAGGGTGAGAAAGCAGGACTTTTGCTCCTCCCCACCGTTTTTGGAGGGTTTTACTGTGATGTCACTGTTCTGATGTCATCGTCCCTGTAGGCTCTCATAGGCACCCTGTACCCCAGGACTAGCTCAGCTAACTCAGGTTTTCCCCCATCCTGTCCAGTTTCCTGCAGGCAGGGGAGTTGGCTGCACTGAGTGAGGTAGGGCAGGCTTCCGGGCAGACAGCCATTCTCACAGCTTCTGAGAGTTTCATCTGAGGCAGCTGCTCCTTTGTCTCCACCTGGCTTGGGTTATCCAAGCTGCCTTGCTGAAACCCTCATCACACTCCCCATCAAACGTAGGCTCCTAGAGAGGCCACACAAGTCTGCAGTTGAGGGCTTCCTGCCATGGCAAATACACGTGCATATCGGTTGACCTGAGAAAACTATGATGAACTCCTCCTGTGCCAGCACTACCTCTGGTTCATCTAGTAATATCCTTGATGCAGAAAGGAAGCCAAGACAGTCTCCCTTAACCCTCTCTCTCCCAGACAGTGCTATCAGTGGCCCACTCAGTGGATCCACAGTGCCCTCAAGTGGCCAGTGTGTAGTCACTATGATGAATCTCTACGGAACCCTGACCAGGGATGGTGGGTGCTTCCTAAACTAGGCATCAGGATCTGCCAGGATACAGCATAGCTCTTGCTGATTTCAGGTTTGCCTGCCTCATACTCAACTTTTGCACAGGGTAGTGAGGGAGGTATATAGCAAACATTTTGCTAAAATTTAAATTTAAATTTTAAATTTATCTAATAATGATGTAGGAAGGGGGATAGCGGCCACTCATTAAATGCTAGCTGCCTAGGCAAAGTGTTCCCTTTAACCAAAGGTAATTCCTAGAGGCTGCTGACAGTGACATGCTATCAGCGAAACAATCTTCTAAGCTGGAGAAATAAACACATTTGTCTCATGAAAGGGAACTGCCTACTTATATATCTTTTGTTTTTTTAACACCCTAGTCAGCCTTTACTTTTTGTTTTTAGTGAATTGACTTATTTATGATTGATGTGTAGGAATTCTTTATATTATGAATTCAGCCCTTTCTCAGATATACATATATTTTTTCTTAATAATATATTTTGATAAACTTTTTAGGGCTTGCATAAAGAATATTTTGCTTTTTTTATGGTTAGAACATTCTTTTGTCCTCCTTAAGAAACCCTTGCCTACCCCATGATCATGAAGAGAGCTCACTATGTTTTCTTCCAGAAGCTTTTGAGTTCTAGCTTTTTGATTATTTGGGATTTTTTGTGTCTCTTACTAATTATTGTTTGTGGGAAGGGCCAGCAGTTTTTCTGTAGAGGGTGAGAATAAATTTTTTAGTTTTGTGCACCATGCAGTATTTGTTCCGACTACTCAACTCTGTCACTGTAGCACAAAAGCAACCGTCGACAATACATATGTGAATGACTGTGGCCGTGATCCCGCAGAACTTCATTTATATTTACTGAAATTTGAGTGTCTTAGATTTTCGTATGTAACAAAATACTTTTAATTTTTTTCAGTCACTTGAAAATGTAAAATTATTGTTAGTTTCTGGGCTATATGAAAACAGAGGCCAGATTTGGCCCAAAGGCCATAGTCTGCCCACATCTCGTTTAAGGAGTGAGATAAGGCTAGAGATTCATTATTTTTCCATGTTGATATGCCATTTTTCTAGAACTATTTGCTGAAAAGACTATTTTATCCTCCTTTTGCTTCTTTTAGTATTTGATCTGGGAATTACAATATGCATCTTTGACTTACCACAGTACTTGCAAAAATATTCTGTTTAACCATAGGATTTCACAGATATCCTTTTTTAGGTGAAGAAAATTTCTTATTACTCTGAGTTTGATAACAGTTTTCATCAAGAAGGGATATTGAATTTTATCAAATGTTTAAGTCATCTATAGATGTGATCATATAGTTTTCCTTTTTTTTCGTACAGATAAGGTAAATGACATAGTCTGTTTTTTGAATGTCAAATCAACTCTGCATTACTGAGATAAACCCCACTTGACCATGTTGTATGATTCCTCTTACATATTGTTGGATCCTCTAGGGTGGAGTTTTAAAAGGATGATTGAATCTGTGTTCCTGAGAGATATGAGTCAGTAGCTTTCTTTCTTGTAATATCTTAGTCTAATTTGGTATCAGTGTAGTTCTGTCCTCAGAGTGAATAAAAAATTATCTAGTTTTCCCACAAGTCCTGCTTTGGAAGCATCCTACCAATTTTGATATAGTTTTATATTTGTTCAGTTTAAAATATTTTTTTTCTTTTGAACATTCTCAAAAATTTTATGCATATATAGCAATTTCCTTAAAATAAATTCATTAAACTAAAAATATTCTGGGTCAAGGAATGTTAGCAGTATTAACTCTTTTGATGTATGTTGCTAAATTACTAGACAAAAAGGGTTTTACAATTTATTTGCCCCCCCAAAAAAAGAAAGGGCTCATTTATCATCATTCTCACCAGTATTTGGTCAAAAAGAAAAAACAAAGTAGCAAGCAAGAAAACAATGATACTATTAAAGCAATTCTAAATTATCTTTTATCTTTTGATTTATTATTTGCCTTATGAGTTATTTAGAAAACTATTATCTAAGTTTAAACTAGTCTGGACTTTTCCAGAAATCTTTCCTATTGATTTCTAACGGAGTTTCACTGTGGTCAGTGAAAATACTTGGTTTGACTTGAATACTTTTAATGTACGGATGTTTGTTTTACAACCCAGAGTGTGTAGTCCATGCCTGCACACAGTCAGTGCACACTCCAAAAGAACATGTATTCTGCTGCTCTTGGATGAAGTGTTCTGTAAACATCAGTTAAGTCAAGTTGGTTGTTGGCGTCATTCATATCTTCTGTATCCTCACTGGTCTCTTGTTTTTGTCAACTTGTTAAACCAGTTACTAAAAGAGGGATATTGAAATCTCTGATTATAATTGTGGATTTGTCTATTTCTCCTTGCAGTTCTGTTTTTGCCTTGGTATTTTGAAGATCCATTTTCAGATACATAAATATTTGATTGTTATGGCTTCTTGATAGACCAATACTTTTGTCATTGAGATATGACTTTCATTATCCCAGATGATATTCTCTGCTTGAAATTTATTTTGTTTGATATTAACATAACGACTCTAGCTTTCCTTTAATTTGTGTTAGTGTAGTACATCTTTTTCCATCCTTTAACGTCTTTACATTCTGAGTCTTAATAGTATTCTGATAAGTAGCACATAGTTTTTTCTTTCAATATTATTCAACATTTTTCTTTTTTTTTTTTTTTTTTTGGGACGGAGTTTCGCTCTTGTTACCCAGGCTGGAGTGCAATGGCGCGATCTCGGCTCACTGCAACCTCCGCCTCCTGGGTTCAGGCAATTCTCCTGCCTCAGCCTCCTGAGTAGCTGGGATTACAGGCACGTGCCACCATGCCCAGCTAATTTTTTGTATTTTTAGTAGAGACAGGGTTTCACCGCGTTGACCAGGATGGTCTCGATCTCTTGACCTCGTGATCCACCCGCTCGGCCTCCCAAAGTGCTGGGATTACAGGCTTGAGCCACCACGCCCGGCCCTATTCAATATTTTTCAATTGTACAATCTGTGCTCTTAGATGACTTAGATTTGATGTGATTGTTGTTGTGGTTACTTTTATGTCTATCATCGTATATTTGTTTTCTATCAATCCCATCTCTTTTTTGTTCCTTTTTTCCTTTTATGTTGTTTTTGTGGATTAATTGAGCATTTTTACAATTTTGTATTTTTTGTTGGCTTATTAACTATAATGCTCTGTTTTGTTGTCTTAGTGGTTGCTCTGTAATTTGCAGTATACGTCTACTGTAACACAGTCTACCTTCAAGTGACTTCACTTGGATTATGGAAATCTTCCAATGATATATGTGTTCATTTATTCTTCACCTGTCTTTATGCTGGTCTTGTTATAGATTTACTTTTGCATATATTAGAATCCCTGCACTTTGTTGAAATTGTTTCAGTGTAAATAGCCAATTATCCTTTAAAGAAATTTAAGTTTAAAAATTTGCTTTTGGGATTCTAATTACATATTAAGCTACTTAAAGTTGCCCCGCAGTTTACTGATCATCCTCTTATTCTCTGTATTTCATTAAGAATTATGTTACTTCTTCAAGTTTATTTTTTATCATGTAACGTCTAATCTGACGTTAACTTCATCCAGTGTATTTTTCATCACGGACATTGTAATTTTTATTTCTGGAAGCTTTGTTTGGATTTCATTATGCCTTCCCCATCTCTACAAAACTTTGAACTTACAGGCCAGAGTTATAATAACTGTTTTACTATCTCCATCTGCCGATTTGTCATTTCTGGGTTGGTTCCTATTGATTAATTCTTCTCTTCATTATGGATCTATTTTCATGCTTCTTTGCATGTATGCAATTTTTGATTGATGTCAGATATTTTGTATTTTATATTTTTGGGTGCTAGACATTTTCATATTTCTATTAATATTTTTAACTTTGTTCTGTGATGCACTTAAGTCGGTTGGAAACAAAATGAAAAAAAAAAAAAAAAATCCCAGCAGCTGTTTTCTTTTTCTTGAAGAATTTAACAAGCTGATTCTAAAATGTATGTGAAAAAAAGTGTCAAGAGTGCTCAAGATCACTTGATAAAAAGGAACAAAGCTTGAGAAATTATTTTACCAGCTATTAAGAATGAGTATGATGCTGTAGTAAAACAATCTATTATCAGTGCAAGAATGGATAGAACAGAACAACATAACAGAACAGAGATCCAGGAAAAAAGGCCCACACATGTATAATGACTGATTTATGACAAAAGTGATATTATACAGTGGTGGCAAAAGTATTACCACTTAACAAATAGTATTGGGTTAATTGAATAATCATTTGGAAAAATGAAACTTGACTTCTTCCTCATATCACCTACAAAGAATTAATTCCAGTTAGATTGTTAAGTCTAAGTGTGAAAAATGGAAAATATAAAGATTTTAGAAGGAAATATAAGAAAACATGATTATTTTGAAGTAGGCAAGGATTTCCTAAAGCGGACACCAAAATACAAAATACTAACCAAAATGGGGGGAAAATGGAATGATTGTGACTTAAGAACTTCAGTTTATCAAGAGAAGCTATGTGTAGAGTGAAAAACTCATCTACAGAGAGAGCGAGAGAGAGAAAATTTCAACCAAAACTCTCATACACCTCTTATTGGAATGTAAATTGGTACAACTTCTTTGGAAACCTCAAAGAATCCTATGTGGTTGATATAACTTTATTCAGACCTTCTTTGAATTGTGTCCCTTTAAAACCTTCCCAAGTGGAGTTTATCTTATGAAACCAAACTCAATTTGTATTTCTACCTTTTTGTTAAAGTTAGACTGGAGAAGACGGAAATTAAACACAGAATGACTACAAGATTGTCTGAAGGGGAAAAAAAGCGATATATGAACATGTGATAATGTGCATTATTTTGGGTAATAGTCATTTCTGAATAATTGGTTTTTACGGCAATTCTTTCTAAAGATTCCAATTTTCTTTCAAGGGTGATAGCTGTAAATGGCCTTAACAGTGTTTGCTTTTGGCTTCCCGGCTCCTTGGTAGAGTGTAGGTCTGAGTTGGTGACACCTGGTAATAGCAGTTTAATATAAATGTGCTGAAGCTTCATAGTTTTTTAAGAGAATATTTACTTAGTCACTATCCCCGAGACTAAGCTCTGTTATATCCTAATTAAGGAAATTTGAACTATATATAAGGAATCCCAGAAACCCATAAGCCAAAATTATTACTACCCAATGTTCCCTGTTCCTGTATTTCAGAGGTTATTTCCTGACCTCCTAGTGTTAGAAGACACCCAAAGTCCAAAATGGGCTCATTTTCCTTGCTGAGGGAAGAGCAGGGCAGCTCCTTTGTTCAGGGCTTCTGAGAACTGGAAGGAAAAGTAAGTGCCTAAGGGTTTGTGAACAGGAAGGAGGTGACTGTGCCATGCTGTGGCTGAGCTGCTGGCACAGAGATACATGGCCGAGTCCCCCTGCTTTGTGCGTTGGATCTTCAGAGTGAAGAAGGATCCCTTAGTCCTCTCTGCAAAGAACCGATCACTGGGCAGCCCTGATTTGTCTAGTTGAGCTTCATTCCAGAAGTAAGTCAGAAACTCTAGGCTCTGCCCCAGGGTCTGTCGGTACCAATAAAGGCCGTCGTGTCCAGAAATTGGATCACACCTGAAAGTTACATTCTGTCCCGTCTTTGTAACCTTGTGTCTGGGGTCCTGGGAGACTCCAGCACATGCGTGATCTGTGGAGATAGAAGATGGGAACAGAAGGAGGAAAACAATTGTAGTACACACACACACACACACACACACACACACAACACAACACAATAAGATTGCTTGGTGTTCTGAGGACTCACCTGCCCCCAGGACACACAGGGCCACCCAGCAGAGGAGCCTGTTGCCCATGGCAGGGTCAGGGCAGGATGGGTGCTGTACCAGCTCAGGGCTACTGTGAGCAGGAGTAGGGAAGGAGGAACGTCTTTGTCCCTACAGAACAGTTTCCACAGTGACATCACTGAACCTCAGGATCACCTGATACTGATGAATTAAGTCCAAGATGGCAGCAACTCTGATGTGCACCACTTTATTATGTACCAGCAAGAAAGAAAATAATTACTGTTACTCATCATCAGAAACATGAAACGGTGAAACACCGTGAAGCATAGAATTCATGAAAAGTGGTAAGTCAGAAGTGGGCTTCCACACACACGGCTTCTGTTAGGTCCATATTGCTGTCCCACGCAGTGCTCCAGGGGCTGCTGCCTGCGTGCCACCCTCCACCTCTGGGAAGTTGCCTCACTTCTCTTATTCCTTTCATACTGTCAGCTGGACATGGCACCTGGCTGCTCCAACAGCACTTTGCATAGAAGATCTGAGTGCTATCAACCTCCTTTGGAAATCTCCTGTTTCTGGCTCCGTTCCTGCATTTTCTTGCCCCATCCGTGGTCTGGGTAGGAGTAGGAGGTGTTTGGGAAATGAATGTGAGAATTGTCGTGTCTTTTTCTTGAAAGAGTTTGAATTTGCAGCTCAGAAGGGTAAGGGAAGAAATGTTGCCTCTGGCAGGCACCAAGCTAAGTTGGGATCTTCAACTAATTCTAAAGGCTAATTAAAAATTTAAAAAAAAGAACAATTAAGGGCCAGGCTCAGTGGTTCATGCCTGTAATCCCAGCACTTTGGGAGGCTGAGGCAGGTGGATCACTTGAGGTCACTAGTTCGAGACCAGCCTGGCCAGCATGCTGAAACCTCATCTCTACTAAAAACACAAAAAATTAGCCAGGCATGGTGGCGCGCACCTGTAATCCCAGCCACCTGGGAGGGTGAGGCAGGAGAATTGCTTGAACTCAGCAGGCAGAGGTTGCAGTGAGCTGACATCATGCCACTGACTCCAGCCTGGGTGACAAAGCAAGACTCCGTCTCAAAAAAAAAAAAAAAAAAAAAAAAAGAACAATTACACAATTCCCCATATGAATTTATTAATCTCAATACTGTTTCTTTTTTGTCTCCACTTCTTATCATGGGACTTTCTGTGTTTCTAAGTCACCTCTGAAATAAATACATGTTCCACAGCCTTTAGAAAATCAGAACTGTTTTACCCTTGACAGTCTGGTGGGAGTAGCACAATTAAAAAATAGGGAGATGAATTAATCTTGGGGGGTTCCTAATAGTCTGCATTAGGAGAAATTAATTTCTCATTTTCATTCCTAGCTTAACTCTAACAACTTCATGGGCAGCCTCTTTCATGTAAGGGGCAATAGTCACAATTCCTCTCACTGCAGGCAAGTGAGACCCAGATTTGAGGAGATTCTGCAAAGTGCAGGAAAAGTCTGAAGCAAAGCAGAGGAGGTGGCTGAGCAAGGTCTTTGCTGCTGGCAAAAGGAGACCCACAGAGTCCCACACTCCTAGGGGATGTGTGTCCAGCTGATGGCGTGAGATGTTTGGTTGACCAGCTTGGAAAATACCAATGTACCTTCAATCTCAGAAGCGCTACATCACAATAGTATGGAATTGGTGCTGCTGCATTTCTAGCTTACATTGCTTCCAGTAGATGACGCCATAAAGTAGAATGTACTCACACCTATTACTGTCTCATTCCTGTCACCTGCTTTCAAGAGGTCTATGTGAGCACAGTATCATGGATGGAGATAGAACCCGGAGCTAGGACCTAGGAGGCTACATGGGGAATGTTTGGAACTGAGGCACACCAGTCGTAGTGATAGGGATTTCCCTCAAAGTTTTCTAGAGCCACCTGCCCCAGGAGACAAAGCACAACTGAACAGAGAAACATGGAATCCCCTCATGCTCTTAGAGGGAAATTGTTGTTTTTAACACAGATCCCACAGGTTTTCAAAATACATGGTTCCTTTGGCAAGGCTTGGCATACTCAGAGCTGAGATTCCCCCAGGTGCATCCAGGACACACCTGGTTTTGAGAAACCAAGGCATGTCCAGCATCCAGGAGAAGAGCTGGATCCCATGGGGGACTGAGCAGGTAGGGGGCATTCAGAGGTCTGGTACTACAAGAGGCCAGGATCTGTCATTTCCCTGTGCCTGGTGAGTGTCTGTCTGTGGTGGTGCTGTTGCTGCTGATTCCCCAGTTCATGGGTCTCCCCTGGCATGGTTCAGGGTCCCTTCTCTTCCCACCCGGTCAGCTTTCTCCTGCACTGACTCCTACACAGCAAGGAGTGCAGAGCTGAGAAAGCTGGATTCAGAGTAGAGTCCTACTCTCACAGCTTTTCTGGTGGGTCTCTGAATTGTGCTGGCTGACTCACCTCTAGGTGTGGATCTGGAGTGGGGATGGAAAGACCCCTTAGGTATCCCTCCAAGCACATCTTCCTCTGTAGCTAACAAAGAATCAGAGACTTCTGACTACTGGATTTTAATCCTGTTCAAAGGTCTTCACAGGTCCCAAACCACCTGCACATCCTTTAGTAGTGAGGATTTACCTGTCATTTGTCTAGAAAGCTTTCTCAGTCCTTGATCAAGCTGCATGGTGTAATCATGCCTCTTCTAGTTGTCAAGTCTTGACCTTCCTTCCATAGGTGCTGGGGGCCACCTGGGGTTTCATCCCTGTATATACTTATATATCTGAAATACACTTCACTCAACCCTACTGCTTCACTTAACAGCTCTCCCTCTCCATACCCCTTCTGCTCCTGATAATCCTTCTCATTCTATGACCCATAACACTTCATGGATACTCAAGTAATGGAGGAACTCTAACCCTAACCCCCATAAGAACGAACCCACACATCAGGCCAATTTTGGGTATAAAACTTCACTCTAAAAAAGGACCACTCATGAAAATGATCAAATGGCCTGGATTTTACAGACTGCCTGAGTCCATCCTAGCTCTGTAGCACACGCTCATCGTACCTGAAAGTCAGTCACTGTCACCATCTTCTGGGAGATATTCGACTTGTGATTCCTCCAGGGTTTCATGAGCTTTCCCCTGGGGTTTCTCCTTGTCTATTTTCTGAGCTCATCATCTTCTCCTAGACCCAGTCAACCCTTCCACCAGGTCCCCTCTGTCCACTGAACCAAGCAGCAGGGGTTGATTCCTTCCGGCTCCCCTCATTTCCATGGCTGCTTAGTTATGGGTGGGGTGGGTTTGGGATGGCAGAGGGCAAAACAATGTAAAGGGCATTATTCTCCTTAGGGCACTGATTCACACTCAGGACTATAAGCTTCATGGTAGGGCCTCACTGTACTCATTGTGTGCGGATCAACACCCTGCCATCCCCACCTCTCACCTTGCCACCAAGGTGAGTAGAAAAGGCCTTAGAAATAATCTTGTGTCCATTTCCAGGTGTGCTTTGTACAGTGGACTTCTTATTAATATTTAACACAGCTATTTGTCCTTCATTTCCAAAGACATTACTCCCTAAGGTGTGCATCTGTGCTGAGAGCTAAAAAACCTTTAGGAAAAGGAGAGGGGTTGCATCACAGTTTCACAGCTTAGAGTTTGATAGTACATGTCCTTTGTCTTTGACATCCTGTGTCCACTCTGCCGTGTTCCCAACTGTCCTTCCCCGCTGCCTGTGCTTCCTTCTCTGCTGATTCAAAGAAAATAAGACTCTCCCAATTTTAGAATGCAGGAACACTTAACAATTTCTGGCCCACGAGAGTCTCTCTTTGAACCCTGAGTTATTTATTAAACAAACTGTGACTCCATTGGGTGGGCCATTTTTCCCTTCTCCACCAGCCTTCACAAGGTAAAAGGGCCATATAGATGTTTACTTAACCTCGAAAATAAATTATCCCACCTTCCAAGTACTTCCAAAGCAAGGATTCTAGTCAACATTGTTTTCCTCTGCATTTCACATATAGGAAGTGACCACTTAGTTTCTGCTCCTTCCTCCCTTATTTTAACAACACCTCCTCATTGAGCTCTCTGGCCTAGTTTATCCACATCAGTGTCTCTGCTACATCTTGTGGTGGTAATAATTTTCTCAATTCTCAGCTCTTCTGGTTCCAGGCCACTAACCAAGTACCCCCTGTAGAACCTCCCTACTGCCAACACCACGATACTTGTACCTGAGGGTACACAGTCTCTCCTACCCCTGGTGTCCGATCTGAGGACAACCCCAGATGGTTCTGGACTTCCCCTCTCTCAAACTCCAGGGATCTCTCTATCATTTCCACACAGAAGCAAGTAGACTGTCCTTCTCCATCTGGCCCCACCATTTATTAGCTCTGAGACCATGGGCAAAGCCATTTATTAACTTTCCTGGACTCCAACCTTCTCATCTGTAAAACAAGACTAACATTCCTCTCAATGCTTCAAGGAGATTAACTGAAATACTGTGTTATCTCTGGTAGATTGATAAATGTCCACCCTTTTATCCCTCCCTGTCTCCTCATGGAGGAGAAATAGTTGGAGCTCTCACACCTGTTAGCACTATGAATGATGTAAAAGCTGGAATCATCAGCTGGGTGCTGGGGTGAGGAGAACCTAGAAGCATAAAGAGGCCATTCAGTCACTTTAGAAAAGACCTGGCAGAATTTAGGAATCAGACAACAGAGCACGAATGTACCTGTCTGCCCTCACTATGCAATATGAAGCAGCTAATAGGAGCAACTTAGGTCTATATTGACTAATCTGGAACAATAAAGACCAAGGTATATTAACAGAAAAGAGTATGCATGTGGCAGGTAAAGTGTACAGGTGAACCCACTTTCTGTAGGTGCACTTGGGTAGAAAGGTATGCCTGAACATAGAAAAGGGTGAAAAGAAGCACACAGAGCATTAATACTGGCTACCAGTGGAAAGTGGGATTGGATTCGAGAGCGTTAACATTTTCTTTATATATTATTTAATTTGTTTATTAAAAAAATCTTAACCACGTGCAAGCTTTAAGTTTACACCTTTCATCAGGTGTCAGAATTTGTAGTATCCTAATGAGAAAAGTACAGAAAGCTTCTGTTTATGGAACCCCCTATAAAGGACCCCCCACTTTTTCTCAGTAATCCGAGGATAAAGTGTGCTGCTGTGTAAAAGTGCTTGAGGTCCTGGTGAACACAGCCGGTGTCTGACTGCTGAGGAGGGTGAGCACTGAGGTCGATACATTTGATGGTGAGGTCAGTTTATGCTGATTATGAACCAATAAAGCCTCTACCTTTGAAGGCCTGATCATCATGAGGAAGTGGAGAATCTCACCCCTTGTTCCAGAACAGGCTTTGAATAGCCTCCTTATTTGAAAAGGAAGAGAAATGAGCACCCTCTAGTGCCTGCATTTCCAAACTTAGTAAGAGTTCATTTCCAGTTTTACATTTTTCAAGCTTTAGACAGGCTTCGTTTCTAATCCAAGTAGCAATATTGTTACAATGTCTATTGTAATGACATTCCAACGATTATCAACAGGACACAGCTTTCTCAAACACAGGTTTAGCAAGCGAGTGGAAGAGAATGCTGTCCCAAGGGAAGATGTTCTAACTTTGTCTAAGGTTCAGTTATTTAAAATAGCTAGTCTATTTTTGGTCTTTACTGACTAGTGAGATTAAGCTGCATTCGTCTTTAAGCATGGACGCAAATCATTTGACATAGTTGGGGCTTCAGGCTATCCGTGGGCCATGCTTGGTGATTGAGTGTTTGATTATTTCCACCCAGAATGGCTCTCCCAATTCTTCAGGGACTAACACAAAGCCCTGCTCTGTAAATGGAGCTTCTGCTTCACAATCAGTCTTTCCTGTCTGGCAAAGGAGGGAACAAGCAAAGGCCTCTGATTAGTGCCTTGCACCAAAATCAGGTGTGGGCTGGAGGGCGCTGGTGATTGTGAGCTCTGTGTCTCTGGCACTGCTCACCAATTCATGGAAATGGACACCCATGATACACCTGATACACTCAGCCCAGTGTATCAAGCACCATGGCCTCAAAGCCACCCAAAGAGATATTTGTGCCTTGGGAAAACTCTCTCTAAGAGAATGGAGAAGCCATTTGTTTTCTTGTCCGTCACCTTTTAATGCCAGTGTTTGACATTATATTTCTGATCACTCTGCCAGTGATTAGGTGCCCTGTGTCTGGGAGACTCCAAAATCCAGGACAACTACAAGGGAAGGAGATTGAAGGAGGGGGCAAGCCAGGAGGGCGATGGGCAGATAGGAAGTTCAGTCCTGCAGGAAGGCTTGGGATCCAGTCATTTATCTGTGACAGGGTTTCCTCGTCTGTTTCCAGGACTCATTTGATCCTAAGAGATGGAGGGATGGAGGCTCCCATTTAATGTATCCAGACTTCTGGAACAGTCTCAGTGGGCACCCAGAGGGTCCTTCACTATCAATTCTCTATTCTTTCCAGACTGGCCACTGGCACCTGGAACTGCTGTTGGTGCTGACAATAAAATGAGGAATAAAACATCCACAATTTCTAAAATAATGCATTTTACAGTCTGGAGCACAAGAGAAGTGTCCATTAAATAGTCACAGAAAGTCATGGCAAACGACAATGGTGCCAAACTTGTGAATATTAATGCATATTATAAGCTGTGAGCATGTACAATGAGGAGGTGCAGCCAGAAAAACTGTTGAAGGAGTGGCTCTGTAGAGGTGGTGGTAGGTAAACTGGGGTTTGAAGCAAGAACACAAAAGAAGAGACTTGTGTTGACACAGAGGATACAGCCTGGAGTGGAAAGGCCTTTGGTAGGAGGAGCATGATGCATGAGGAATGGCCTGAACTGAGGTGTCTGTGGTTGACGCGGAGATGAGGGTGCAGAGGAAGGGAGGGGACAGCTGGCAGCAGACATCACTCGGAGGAGGCTGAGGACTGACGTGAGCATGGTGTGGGGAAGGTGGAGTTGTGAAGGCCTACAGGGAAAAGACACAGACCTGTGTTGTCAATGCTGCCTGCAAATATACAACTTCCAATGAACTTTCCTTTCTGAGAGCAACTGAGGAAGAGGACTTCTGAGGCCAGAGCTGCAGGAGGGGCCTGGAAGAGAGGCTGCATCCACTTACATCACAGTGCTGTACGTTCCCTCACCCAGCTGAGACTGGCCTGGGAGAGAAGCTCAGCACAGAGCAGAGTTTCACACGCACAGGGCTGCTCAGAGCTCTGAGGGCCCCAGCCTGGGCAGTGCTGGGGACAGTGCCTTCCACTGCCTGGATCACAGTCTTGTGAAGGCAAGGCCACCTGTATCTTCCACTGAGCTTTGTGTGCAGAGGAAGGTGGCTGTGGGGTGACTGCTGGTGCAAGAGGGCACAGTCTGGGAGGCTGTCTGACAGTGAGGTCATGTATTTGGCTTTAAGAGAAAGTCACAGACCCTCAGGGATTTCTCTGTAGTGCCTGCTGGGACAGATCAGCTGCGTATCAGCTTCGGGTCCTGTTAACACCTGCATATGTAGTCATGGATGACAGTCTCAGGCATCTGCATGTCACTTCATGCCCTGCCTTTGTTCTCTGGTGTCTTGGGATCTGTCTGTCCCAGCAACTGTGAAGTCTATGATAGAAGGAAGCTGAGTGCCCATAAAGGGACCCCACTAATGTAGACCTGACGTAAAGGCTAAGGCTAGGATGTGGTGAGCCAAGGAAAGGCTTTAGTGCACTCACCTCCCCCAGGAGGCAAAATGCCACACCACTGAGGAACCTGGTGGCCATGGCAGGGCCAGGGAAACATGGGCCGATTGTGGGAGGTTTTTTGGTTTGTGTGTTGGGGACATAAGTCCTGGATGTCAGTGGAATCAACTGGTGATGCCACTGCCCCTGCCAGCCAGTGACTCTGCTAACTGCCTGCTGTTCCTCCTCTACCTGCTGTAACCTTCAACCTACAGTCAGTCATAAACCTTCGCCCTTGTGGTCTCTGCTCCTGGCTGTCTTTCTTCTACAAGACAACAGCCAGACGAGATTTGTGATCGTGTGCCCTCCACCCACCTCTCCACTGTCAGTTCAGGGTGTCCACTTTAGGGATGTTTTTGACAGGCTATTGCTTCCTCTCTGAACACATGTCCTCCCTCCCATTCCCAGGTCTCTATCTTGTTTCTTGAATGAGATATATTTCAGGTACATTTATTCTTAATGGTGAAAAGTCGAACTTAAATTTTACTGGGATAAATTAAGAAAAATATGTTTAGACATTTATATGAGAAAGGAGTTTTTGTCTACACACAAATTTGTTTTTAATTTTTGTTGCATTAAATTAAACTCTTGTGCATCAAAAAAAAACCACCATAAAAATGAAAATATAAGCTACAGACTGAAAAAATACACAGGGAATGCTTATAAATGATTTAAAAAAAATAGTGGGCCAGGTGTGGTGCCTGAACACCTGTAATCCCAGCACTTTGGGAGGCCGAGTTGGGCCGATCACTTGAGGTCGGGAGTTCAAGACCAGCCTAACCAACATGGAGAAACCCTGTCTCTACTAAAAATACAAAATTAGCTGGAAGTCATGGTACATGCCTGTAATCCCAGCTACTCTAGAGGCTGAGGCAGGAGAATCGCTTGAACCCAGGAAGCAGAGGCTGTGGTAAGCCAAGATCGCACCATCGCACTCCAGCCTGGGCGACAAGAGTGAAACTCTGTCTCAAAAACCAAAAAAAAAAGTGTGAAATTTAACATTCATCAAATTGCTAATGAAGAGGCCGTAGTAATGACCGCTGAAATGTCTGAGCCTCTACTGCGGCCCTGCTGGTCACTGGAGGACAGGGTGAGGGCTCTGTCATACTGACCAGGACACAGGAGCTGATGACGGAGCGGCGGTAGGTGGAAAATGTGTGGACTTGATCATCACCGAGTAGTTTAGTTTCCCACTTCTGATCCTTAAAAGCCAGGAGACACTGGGGGAAATGACTCAATGTCCCTGAGCCTTCCATCTGGAAAGGAAGAATAAGAATGTTTGATTTGTAAGATTGTTGCAAAGCTTGAAGATATATTACAAATGCGAAGAATCTAGCACATATCTGGGGCTCAGCAGCCACTCTTCTACTAAAGTTACCCAGGAAGTGACAAGATGCAAGAAGATGCAACAGAGAAGCAGGAGCACTCAGGGCACAGGAAGCCTGGGCTCTGTTGTTTGGGAGAGTTCTGTGCTCAGCAGGACACAAGACATGCCTTCCTAACAACTCAAAGCTTCCCTTGAAGGAGTGAAACCTGGGTGGGGCCAGCAGCTCTCAAGTCAAAGCTGAGGCAGGAAGTTTATATACAGAATGTTGGTGACTCTGCTGGGCTGTGCCAAGCTGCTGGCACAGAGATACAGGGCCGAGTCCCCCAGCTCCAAGGCGCTCACATTCAGCCCAGAGCTATAGTTATGGAACTGGGAACCTGAGAATCGATTAGGGAAGTTTCCTCTGTTTCTCTGTTCCTTTTCATAATATTCAAGAATTAACTCGGGCCCCTGACCGAGGACCTGTTGGTACCAAGACACACTGCTGTGCCCAGAGATAGGAGAGCATCTCAGAGTCACTTGCTGTCCTCTCGTTTTGATCAGGTGTGTGGGACTTTGGGTGACTCCAGCTTCAACTGGGCCTGTGGGAAAAGCAGATGGAAGATGAGCACAGGAAACAGCCTGGAGGTGCATCCCCAGGGTAAAGTGGAGGACACAGGGGTGGGAAAGCTGAGGATGGGGCTGCTGTCCTGTGCACAGGACTTACCTGCTCCCAGGAGACAAAGCAGCACCCAGCCTAAGAGCTCGTGATTCATGGCACAGTAGGGAAGGCAACACTGCCCCTGATTCAGGGCTTGGTCCTCCTGGGAAAGAACCTGAGTTCAGGGCCTTGATTTTCCTGATGGGAGGGGTATCCTGTGATGTCACTGTCCTGTGTCCTCCCCCTGCAGGAGGCTTCCTTAGGTCCAGTGCTCCACAGACCCTGTATTCTCTACTTGTCCTACAGAGCCAGAGGGCGGGCTGAGGGCAGAAGCATCTGTGATGAAACATTTCCTCTTGTGCCTACACTGCCCCGGCTCCCAGGCTGCCCCGTCACTCTCTCACCCTCCTCCCACCTAGTGCTGTGGTGCTCCGTGCTGGAACTCCCATACCTGCCCATCAGCAGAGGGTGAGGAGCCTGTGATTAAACCCTCAGGTTCCAGCTCTTCCTTGCTGTCCTCACATCATCTTTCTGATGCTTGATTCACATCAATGTTTCCTACTATGTTTTTCTTTCCCAGGCAACATTCCCAGCCCCTTTCCTGGGCGGCAAGTGGTGCAGAGTCCGCAAGACTTCGTCCATCTGATCAGATCCAAAGCAGACCTGGGTTGTTTGTAAGTTATTAACAGTACAGATTCCCCAGAAATAATTCTAGGGCTTAATCAGCTCACAGCACAGACCTAGCCAGCTTGGGACTGAGCACCCTCAAGGCTGTCCCTGGACAGCGTATGTTAATCCCTCTAGGTCCACCCTCCCCTCAGAGGCCGACCCCAGTGTATTATGTTAACTGGCTCCCCTTTTCTCTAGCTCCAGGGTGAGATTGGCTTCTGGAGACAGGACAGCAGAGGGAGGTAGGGTCACCAGCTGTGCTGGTTTGTAAAATCTATTCTTTTGGTTCCCTTCTTGCTGAGTTAAATTTTCTGGTGGCTAAAAGTAGTTGCACAGTACCCTGAATGCTTTGCCACTTAGATGTTTCTTTCAGCAGATATCCTAGCTAATATCTCATAATTTTTACATTCCATAATGTACTAGAACAAGATACAACTTTGCCAAGGTTTTTGCTAGTTATAACAAGGATGGCATTTACTTCTATTTATGATACCTTGTTCTTCATTTCCCTTTGAGCATTCACCAGAATTGCATTTAATGCTCTGTTTTCAGCAGTCTAGGCTTTTACTGGTGTGCTTCTCCAAATTCTTCCAACCTCTATCCATTACCCATTTCCCATTAACCAAAGCTGCTTCAACATTTTCAGGTATTTGTGATAGCAACAGCATCACTCTCGGTACCATTTTTTTCTTTCGATTTTTTTCCTACTGCTATAGAGAAATACCACAGACTGGTGATTTATAAGGACAAGAGATTTATTTGGCATAGAGATCTGGAGACTGGGAGGTCCATGATCAGGGGGCCACAACTGATGAGGGCCTCCTGCTGTTCTCCAAGGCAGAAGGAAGAGGAAGCAAGCACCCAAGACAAAGAAAATGACTGAATTTATCCTTTTTGTCAGAAGACCATTCCCAAGACAACTAATTCACTCCCACAATAAGGGCATCAATCTCTTTCTGAGGACAGATCCCTCATGACCTAGTCACCTCTTAACTGTCCCACCTCCCAATACCATTACACTGGCAAATTTCAACATGAGCTTTTGTGGGGACACCAGGCATAGCACACACATCTACACTATGACTCAGCATTTCCACTCTTAAGTCTATACTTAAAAAAAAAATGCATATGTCCACAAGAAAGAATTCCACAAAAATGTTCACAACAACTTTATTCATAATAGTGGAAGACAGGAGTAACATGGATATCCATCAACAGGAGAATGGATAAGCGAGCTGTGGTATATTTATGCAATGGAATATTAGTCATTAGAAAGAATGACCTACTGATACAACAATATGAATACTCTTTAGAAATACTAATTTTGGAGGAAAATAAAAATATTATATGATTCCATTTATATGAAGTTCATGAATAGACAAAACTAGTCAATGGTGATAAAAATTTTAAAAAGTTATCCCTGGGATAGAAATGGATTGGAAAAGAGCATGAGGATGCTTTCTTGAGTGATGGAAAATTGTTTTAATCATTTCAGTTACTGTTGCACTGGTGTATGCATTTTTCAAAATGTACCAGGATGTCCTTATATTAATATTTGTGTTTTATTCTCAGTAATTATACCTTAATAAAAAGAATTACTAAAAAGTACACAGTTAAATTGAATAAAAGATAGGAGTCATTTGCAAATGTATGTTTCTGTTCTGCACAGCCCAATTTAAAAATGAATCACACAAAAATAAGAAAAGACAGGAGCACACAGATGTGTGTAAGATATGGCGAATGTGAGAAGTGCTCAGTGACTGAAATGGGCAACATTGAAATGTGGCATCAAAATAAGCTCAGCTGCTGAGTGGGCTGAAACACAACTGAGGATCAATATCAAGGAAGGCTGTAGACAAACAAAGCTTTCTAGACGTACCTTCATATGCTGTTGAAATCATTCTGAGAACCATGAGCTGTTATCAGTTTCATAACTTGGGAAGCTGGGCATTCATGAGACTCACAGTTGAGCCTTTCATTTTGGCTTTCAACAGATTGGCCAGTTGGTGAATTGATTTTTTTTTTTGCCAAGCAAGCAGCCTACTCCCCTCTTTGTGAGTGGGGGTCCTGGGTGACTGGGCACTCCCCCTTTGGCAGAGTCACAGAGGGGAGTTGGACACAGCACAGACACATGGGGTTCCCTGCACATGGGGTTTGCACTCCCTGTGAAACCCAGCTATGCTCCACTCAGTCCTGCAATTAATGGATCCCAATGAAAGAAACCTTGCCTCTAGGTGTCCACTTTACCTGTAAGTGGTAAAGAGGGATACAGGCTGGAGAAAAACAAAATGTTTGCTTAATATTTTTTACAATAAAATAAATTGAGGAGCTCATGAATTTCCATCTAAGCCAAAGTATGAGATAGATGATAATACCTTAATTCCTTCCTTAATCTACCCTGAGAGGACTCAACCCCTGCTCTATACCCACAAAGACTTATTTATAGCCTCTTTTCAATAATTCTACTAGTTGATTATCTTCAGTTCTAATGGAACAGTTTGGTGCATCTACTAACATTTTCCTTCAGCAGTTTGTTTACTTGGGTGTCCTAGAACTTGTTATCAATAGTTTTTGTCCTCCAGAGGACACATGCGTGGTGTCCAATGGAAACCAAGTCAAGGTGATATTATCAGCACGACTTATAAACTTGTAGAATCCCAGATCACTCAAGCAGGTTAAAGCTGTTGCCTGGAGAGACCACAGGGAAGACAAAGTGCAGCAGAAATGCACTAGGCTCAGGGCACAGCCCATCCCTGGCTTTCCCCTGTTCCTCTGAGGCAGTTAGTTGCTCCTCTGCGCCTGCCCCTGACACCTAGCCTGCCCTGGCCAAATTCTTCAACTGAAGATCTCATTGGAGATTAGAGGGACTTCCTGCCTCTTGCATAGCTGTAGGTAGCCTAGCAATCACTGAAAACTGCTGCAACATCTGTATAATATTGGGTCCAAGCCCTAAATTTTCTTAACCCTTTCCCTCCTAGGCGGCACTGCCAGACCCCTCCACCCCCCCAGCCCTTTAGATCCCAGTGGACCACAGTGCCATCTTGTGGCCAATAGGTGAAGTTTCATCATTGTTCTGCAATGGCCCAAGGAATGCTGGAAAGTGAGCTGGGAGATTATTCCAGAAGAGCCATCCCCATCCAGCAGGTTTTATGATCAGTTTCCCTAAACCTTCTTCCCAACACTAGTTCTAACCCTGACTATTGCTTTGAGTTACCAAGCTTAATATCCGACCCTCATTCTGAATAAGTTTTATCACATCGCTCCAGTTTATAGTCATAAGGTTTTCTCCCTTGAAACTACCATGTAAAGAAAGAGGAACAGAATGAGAAGAATGAAATAAAATAATATTTGGTTTTAAACAGGAAGAAAACAGAAACGTTGAAGTATGAAGAGATTATTTAATCTGAATCACTACAGATAAACAAAAATGTCCTCCAAAAATGACAATGTTACCCCAAAAGTATAGATCAGCAAAAGATGAAGTCAAATGTGTATTAATAAAATGTAAAATTGAAATATACAAAAGGAGACCTCTTACAAGGCAATCAGCAATGGTGGAGGGAGCAGTACCTAATGCAGAAAGTAAGGATGGACATAATTCAGACCAGCAAAGGGCCTGCTACACGAAACGATCAACTTGGACAATGCACACCCACTGATCTGAAGAGCAAAGAGAGAAGAGATGATTCTGGAAGAGGCAGAAGGGTGCTGGGAGATGAGGACATGCTGGTGCAAAACAGTATCATAAGGAACCAAATCAACCAGGGGACTGTGGATCACATGACTTCTCTTTCTCCTGTCTCCTGTGACAGCTGGACTGGACCAAGGATTTGCACCAGCACCCTAAATAGTTGCCCCTGGGATTTGCTCCTCCTCAGATTCCATGGATGAACTCCTAGTCCTTCCTCGTTGAGCAGGTTCTGAAGAAGATGTCATCTCTTCCACTCCTTCAATCCCACAGTATTGGTGATTGGCATAGAACTCTCAGTTGGCATCAACCTCTCAATTGACATTGACCTCTCTCATGACATACTCACATGCCCTCTAACCATGTCTTTTCATTTCCACTAGACTGAAAATTAGTTGTGGGCAATGAAACTTACCAGCTTTGTCATAGGATATGTAAGTGACTGCTTTGAAAACTATTGCTGTTTCTTTCACTGTCTCGGTTTATATATGAACAGGAAAAAAAGCACAATTTCTTAATGTAACCTAACCACGAAAACCTTCCCAAGTGCCAGAAACAATATAACTACCAAGGGATTGCTCTCCTAATTGGTGAAATGGCAAAATAAAACAACAACAACAAAAAAAAACCAAAAAAATTTTGTCAAATAGTTTAAAAGAGGCCCAGAATCCCAGTCCCTCTTATACTAACATCATTCTGGCCTCCCTCTACCTAAGGAACAGATACAGCCATTCCTGTGCCCTGCACCTGGCAGGAAAGCCCTCCTGGAGCCTGTGGGGAGCTGGCGAGGATGGGCCTTGGTGATTCTGCCCCAGGGCAGGGATACTATGGGAGCTCTGGACAACCTCCAGGGACTGAGATGGAGTACTTAATCTTGGAGAGAATAATACTTAGGGTGTCACCCTTCTGACTTCTCAGCCAAACATAAAACCAGAGTCATTCCTGACTGGCATAGAGCTGCTTAGTTTCCAAAGCAAATTACTCCTTGTTTCAGCATCTGTTGATACCAAGCAAGAATAGTGGGGCTGTAAGTGGTTTACAACCCAGAGTCGCTGCTTGCCCATCTCTGTTCCCAGCAACTCTAGCATCTGAATATTCCACGCTAGGGAAGATAACTTGAAAATAATGAACTTGTTCAGTGATACCTTTAGTTACATTCAAAATAGTTGTCAAGTTCCAGACTGGCATGCATGTAGGAGACACAGACCTAAAGAGCAAGAGAATTTGGAGGTTGAATAGAAACAGCAACAATCGAGGCCCCAGTAGATGATGGCTTCCAGGAGCAAGAGTGGAGGAGAGGTGAATTCTGAATGCTTTTGTCCCCATAAGACATGGCATAACAAGGACATCAGAAAATACTCCAGTGATGTGCTGCGAAACTGGGTGTCTGTAAAGGTGGGGGCATGCCTGCTAGCATTTATTATTCCTGTTGCGCCAGCACACCCATCACGGCAGATTCCAAGCTGTCATCATGGCCTCACTAAACAGGGACCTGGGAAGAGTATGCCTATTTGATTTTTCTGAGTCATACAAGCAGGCTCCGGCTCATCCCTAAACTCAAGAGCAAAGCTTTCAGAGTTTTTCAATGTTTCATACTCAACATGCTAAAAATGAGGCAACAGCAGCTAGGGCACACCTCATTATTTTCATGAGAGGATCAGAGTATGTGATCCTGGGTCTTGGAAAGGACAGACAGACATTTGTGCAGAGAAAGGATTTCCGAGTCCTCTGAAGCTGCCGAGATCACAGAGCAAATAGTTACGCTGGCTGGTTGGAGAGCTGCTAGCCTCTGACTTGAAGTAATTGCATTGAAATGTTTCTCTGGCTCAACTTAGGACAACAGGATCATTTCATCAGAGCAGAAACCCCATTCCTTCCTATTCATTCATTAGTAACATCTGCCTTTGCTCCTCCTGCATGTTCGTTCTCAGTATAAATTGGAAGCCCTGCTCGCTTTTGTTACATGTTCTTGCAGCACCGTTTACAACTGAGGACCGTGTTCTGTTCAGCCTCAGTGTCGGAGCTTGTCCACTGTTAGGTCCAGGTGTCGCAGGGGTTAATGTGGAGGAAGGTGGCAGCTGTTAGAGAGAAGGTCTAGGAAGACAGGGAATTCCCATCTGTGCCCTGGCCTCACTCAGTCCCAGGAGACAGAGGGCACCTGAGCAATGAGCGATTTGATGACAGCAGAATAAAAAATGGGTCCAGAGCAACTCCAGTTAGAGACCACCATTCTCTGGGGAAAGAAATTTGGTGTCTGTACCAGCACAATTTCTGATCAGTGGATTTGGAAGGACTATGATGCCCCTTCTAGCTATGAAAGGCTCACAGCACCTCTATCATGGCTGCATCTGGGACACTGAGTCCCAGAATTGGAGAAGTCATCTGTCACTGAGGACTCTCAGAAACCCATGATCTATAAACATATTAGCTCTGACCAGTGCATTCGATTTCACAGATACAAACTACAGCATCACCCACAGACAGGTGGAAGATTCTATTGCAATATAATCATTATACTTCTATTTATAACAAGTACTATAAAACAATATATAATATGAAAAATAAAATAAAAAGGAATATAATCAAAAATATGATAAATAAAGCACTTCTTGAGTTAAGGACCTCAGGAAAATTATTTCAATCAAATGAGCTGGGCAGCAATGAAAACAGTGTCTAGAAATCGGATTTCCAGAGGGAATCATGGTGAACTGGCAGCGGTGGTGAATGCATGCTTCTGTCTATCAGGACAGCAGCCATGGCAAATGGAAACAAAATAAAGGGTACTCCTGGCTTCAGGTAGGCAGAAGAGAGGAAGTCTTATCATCATTGTGTTTATCAAGTAAGGACCACAAAAGTTGCAAGACCTTTATTTCAAACAGGAAGAGAGGTTTGATATTTTGTTGCAGAAACCCTCCCAGGTGACAGGAACAGAAGGGGCTTCAGAAGAAAGGCGTTCCAGACACCAGACGCCCCAACACATGCGGGAGAAGAGGTCTGTTTCCTGCCCGTGACAACCTCATGTACGTGGGCAGCACGGCAGCCACCAAGACCTCTAGAAAATGTATTCTGCCCTGAAGGCCAAGGCGAAGACAGCCACACCTTGCTTGGAGCAGTGAGCTGGCTCCGAGGACTCCTAGAACACATGGGCCATGATTGTTTTCACCACCTACATTTGCAGTCACTGTGTTTCAGGAATGGATCTGTGGTCTCACTCTACCCAAAGGACAGCTGAGGTCCAAATTTGCTTCTTTCCCATGAAAAGTGAGGAGCAAGGAGAGGCCTCTGTTAAGGGTCTCTAGGAGCTGCCAGGAGGGAGAGGAGAAGGTTTGTGAGCAGGAAGGAGGCGACTGTGCCACACTGTGGCTGAGCTGTTGGCACAGAGATACACAGCAGAGTCCTCCTGCTCTGTGCACTGGATCTTCAGAGTGGAGAAGGATCCCCCAGCCCTCTCTGCAGAGAACCGATCACTGGGAAGCCCTGATTTGTCTAATTGAGCTTCATACCTGAAGTAAGTCAGAAACTCTGGGCTCTGTCCCAGGATCTGTTGGTACCAATACAGTACAGCGTTTCATGACCTGAAATTGGATCACACCTGAAAGCTATATCCTGTGCCCTCTCTGTGACTTTGTACCTGGGGGACTGGGAGACTCCAACACCTGTGTGATCTGTGAAAATAGAATTAGGCAACAGAATAAGGAAAAACATTTGTAGTCATATCAGACACACACACACGCACATGAACACACACCCACATCTACACACAGAGGTAAAAGGAAACTAATTGGTGTTCTGAGGACTCACCTGTCCCTAGGAAACCCAGGACTACCCAGCAGAGGAGCCTGGTGCCCATGACAGGGTCAGGCAGGATGGGGGCCTTATGAGATCAGTGTCACTGTGAGCAGGAGCAGAGGAGGAGGGACGTCCTTGTCTCCACAGGGCAGTTCCCAAGTGACATCACTTCCTCTCTCAATCTCCAGGACCTCAGGGTCACAGCATTTATATCAGAACACACTTGGGTGATGCTTTAAGTAGTTATAAGCTCCTTTTTAACAACATCAATGCATGGCTCATTGCTTTGTGCTCCAGAACTGTCTGGACCCAGAGGCCTCACACTGAATCTCTGCGTTGATCTCCTCATCCCACAGCCACTCTCTCTCTGCTGGGCATGTCCTGTAGGAGGTGCCAACAGTGCCCCCTACACAGGGCAGCAAGGGGTGAGCTCATTGTCTTTCCTCAAATCAGGGTCCCCTGTGCCATCCGCATTCATCCCCAGCTGCCTCCATTTCCCCAGTCACAGGTGCAGGTGCCCAACGGTATTCTCCCATCACATGGGTTCCCTCATTCATTAAACCTCATGCCTTTCTTCCGGGATCATATCCCACCTTTGTTAATTATAATTCAGAAAAGATACCTTGGTAGCAAACTTACAGCGACTGTTTTTCATATTCCTGTTCTAAAAGGTTTTTTTTTTTTTTTTTTTTTTAAATAAATCTCACCTTAAATGAAGGAGAATGACAATTGAGCTAATGGTTATTTTTAACCGCTATCTTGACTGACCGGTCAAGATGGATCTGAAATACAAATCCTGCTTCATCGTGGGGGCCTCGGACTCAGGATGATGAGAAAAAAAGTAAGAGCTGGGGAGTGGCCCCACCCCAAAAGGACAGCTTAGAGGGAGGAGCAGGGAAAGCAACAAAGGAGACATCTGAGGGCCTGCGACCCGTCCAGGCCTGGCTGAGACTGCCTGCAGAGGCACCTGGCACAGGCCCAGGCTCACACTGCCCGGGCCACTCGGGGTTCCACGGTTCCTGGTGCAGAGACTCTGCCCAGGGCATCCCTGAGTCTGGGGTGGGGAGGAGGGCCGAGCCTCCCTGCCTTTATGTGCAGAGAGGAGACGGCCTTGCAGCACTGTGGAGTCACTGCTGGCACAGAAGTACACAGATGTCTGGTTGAGAGCAGCTGACTCCAGCCTGAGCAGGAACTCCTCTCTGTTTGGTCTGGAGACATTGTAGCCATCGTGGACTTCTCCTTTGTCAGTGGTACCTTCATCAACTGAGTAATGAATCAGCCTCAGCCCCATGCCTGGGTCTTGTCGATACCAGTACATGTAGTTATGGTTCATATCCTGGGTACACTGCAGCGTCATGCTCTGTCGTATCTTCAGGACCTGGAATTTTGGGGTCTGAGTGACACCAGCAGTCACTGGACCTGCAAAGAAGGAGAACAAATCCAATGCTGCAGCCCCAGTGGGAAAGCTCTGGGCCTTGATATCCATGCAAGGGGCCCTTCCTAGGACCCACCTGCCCACAGGAGACAAAAGGCCGCACAGCACAGGGGGCTAATGCTCATGGCAGGTGCTGCAGGACGGAGGAGTCTTCTGGGTCTGCGTGTTGATGAACGGGGAACAGGGCTCTCAAGGGAGTCGTTCTGATACCTCATTCTCCCTGCCTGGGCCCCAGAGCCTTCCTGTCAGGAGAGGCCACACCTCTTCTCCAGATAGTCAAATTCAAAATAAGTGCACTAGTGAACAGCTGAAAATGAGAACACATTTGTCTGAATTGAAACAAGCCTACAAGATTTTCATGACATTTTGTAAACAGTTTGTAATTCAATGTAAATTTTATTTCTTCAATGATATAATTAATATTCTGGTGTTTGTTATCTACATAGTGCTGTAGTCTAGACGCTTAGGGAAACTCCTCGTGTCTTCCTGGTGCTTTTGATTCCTGTATCCCAAATACTCCTTCAAGTTTCCTTTTCTAATTTGCTTAATTGACCATAATCCTATTTAAAAATCCTTTGTCTATTTTGGCTTTCTCTGTTACCAAGTTTCCAAATCCCAGGGGCAGGCTCATCACCATTGGAGGAGTCGTTTTGCTCTGTTTCTTGTCAACTCACTGACAGATGGGACTCCTGACAAGCCCAGCTGAGCACCTTCAGCTCCAACCAGGACTCTTGCTTTCCATGCCTGGGGTGAGATCATAGCAGGTAGAACCACCTCACACTGCTGACTGTCCTCTCCGTGTGGACGATGGTGGTCACCTAGCATTGCTCATGACCTCCAGGGACAAAGATGGCCTGATGTGTGAGGGACTTGGGGAGAAAGGGCAGACTTTAAGGAAGAATGCTCTGTTTTTATTTGAGATGTCATGTTTCACAGGGAGTATGCCTTCCTGCAAGATTCCTGCCATTTATTTAGTACTAAATAAAAAGGAGCTCAAATAACATATCTTGGTGCACAGAGCCCCACACTTAGTAGGGCGCCACATTCAGTATAACATTGTCATGTTCTTCAAGTTCTTAACAATGTTTGAATAAAGGGAATGCCAATAGGTTGTATGGCTGGTTCTGAGCACGTAATTTTGTTTTATTTTCTGCTCACGTCCTCAGGTACTGTTTTCCTTTTTAGCACAAGCACATGACCAGGGTCTGGGTCACTCAGCATCAGTGAGACTTTGGAGAGAAGAATACAAAAGTTAAAGTCACAGCAAAGGACCACCTGGTGCTGTTATCCACGTGGAGTCCAACAAGCCCGTGAGTGGGTGCCATATATGTGCCCACGATTTCTCAGGCCCAGAAAACAGAGGGACACACAGCAAAAGAGCTTGGTGCCCAGGCGGGGCCAGAACAGAAAGGGGAATTTTTTTATCTCAAGGCTGAGGTTTTATGAGTTGGACACTTGGGGTCAAGGAAGAGAGAACCCTTCTCCCAACATGACATTATCTCTCAATGGAGTCACCACTGCCCATGGTTCGCTTGGCCCCAGTGCACTCTATGTGCTCAGGAAGCAGAGCTAAATCACAGCTGAATGTTGTCTGATGGAAGCTCAAGATAGTGTCCTTAGAGATGATTAATTTTTGTCAGAATATCGTTATAAAGTAATTTCAGTGAATGAGTGTATGAGAAAAAATAATGAACATGAGTGAACAAATTATGTGGAAGCAGCCTCTTCCAGCGGGGAAGTTTTGGTGTCATTCCATCATCTTGTCTGTCTCCACAGGATTGTCCCTAACGTGAATCAGGTATCTCTCAGGGTTCTGAAAGCGTTCAAAACCCTTCTAAAGCCATAAATACCTTTAATTTTTTTTTTAATTTTACTTTAAGTTCTGGGACACATGTACAGAATGTGCAGGTTCGTTACATAGGTATACATGCAGCATGGTGGTTTGCTGCACCTATCAACCCGTCATCTAGATTTTAAGCCCCACATGCATTAGGTCTTTGTCCTAATGCTCTCTTTCCCCTTGCTCCCTCAGCTCCCAACAGGCCCTGGTGTATGCCGTTCCCCTCCCTGTGTCCGTGTGTTCTCACTGTTCAACCCCCACTTATGAGTGAGAACATGCAGTGCTTGGTTTTCTGTTCCTGTATTAGTTTGCTGAGAATGACGGCTTGGAGCTTCATCCGTGTGCCTGCAAAGGACATGATCTCATTCTTTCTTATGGCTGCACAGAATTCTATGAAGTGTACGTGCCACATTTTCTTTATCCAGTCTATCATTGATGGGCATACCCATAAATATCTTTAGAAGCGTCTCTCTGTCTTGAATGTTTACCTGTGTGGTAGAGTGGAAGTGTTTTAATAGTTAGAAATTGTACATTTCCATTAAAAATATTCCTGAGCAAAACTATTCTCTGGTGATAAATATCACTGGTTGTCAGGGATGGAGAGAGGCATTCCAGAGGGGAGTGAGGAAACTCTCTGTGTGATCAAAATGTTTGACATCTTAATAGAGGTGGGGATTAGAAGAGTCTATACATATATGTTGCTCCAAAATCACAGATCTCTTCATTTAAAATGTGTAATGTTATGTATATGTTAATAAAGTTGATTTTTAAATATCTGAGGAGGTATGTATGCTACATTCTTTAGTTAATTTCATGTAAGGAATCATCAGGTACATATATTTTCACTTCTGTGAATTCTAAGTTCTCAGCTTAACATTTCGGGGCAGAATTATCTGAATCTACCTTTGTGTATGGCGAAGGTGGAAGAGACTGTCTGAGATTAACAAAGGGAATCAAGATATTTAGATTCCTATTATAGGCTAGATATTTATAATACTAAGTTCTGTATGCAGCCCTGTAGATGGACTGCATTAGTCTCATTTTATAGATTAACAAAACAAAAAACAAACTTAGCCGAACCTGTCAAGAGCTGGTCTCAGGTAGTGACGAGCTGGTGTTAGAATGGGAGTCGGGGCTGGGTGCCATGGCATCCCTTCAGAGTCCTTCCCCTACACTGTCTTCAGGTAAACGCATCTCTGTCTATGATGTTGGAGCCAGCAGGTCTAAAAGGGATATAGGATATAGGAAGCAAATACTCTGATTTTGAAAGGTAGGCATCTCTCTTTATGAAAATGTCTCATAGCACAGAGCTATGAACAAGAAACTGACAAGTCAGAGTTGGACCCCAAGCACTACATCCTAATAGCCATATAATGTGATTATGTTATTTAACCTTCTCTCCTCTCTGTAAAAATGAGAATAGCATTTGTGTCTTAAAGCTTTTTCTGACAGGTGAATTACTAATTAATTGAAATTTTGCAAGTGAAGGACTTCTATTTTGTGTATAGTAAAGTGACAATAAAGGATGGAAATATGATTTTTTTTCTGGGTCTTCTCCATGCAGCATAATTTAACCATTGATTTACTCAGAGCTTGCAGCTCTGCAAATGACCCTGCCACTCATGTAACATATGGTTTTATAGAAACAGTCAAATAATATACGTTTAATGCCTCAGGCCTTAAATGTGGTATATACACACAAGGAAATAACGTCAAAAAAGAAGAAAATCTAGCCATATGTGGCATTGTAGATGAACCTGGAGGACATTATGGCAAGTGAGTAAGTCGGGCACAGAAAGACAAATACTGCACGACTCTACTTTTATGAGGCAACCTAAATTGTCAAGCAAGTAAAAACTACAACATTGGCTTCCAAGGGCTAGGGGTTGAGGGAAATGGGGAGTTGCTATCAAGAGGTATAAAATTCCATTAAGCAGGATGAGGAAGTTCTAGAGATCTACTGACTATGATACTGTACTGTATGATTAAAAGCCAGTTAAGAGGATAGATCTCATGTTAAATGTTCTCACTATTTTTTTTTAAAAAGCTGGTAAAAGGAGGTAGGTAACTAAAGAGAAAGAGTTAAAAAAAATTCGTTTAATTCAGATATGTATGCTACATTCTTTAGTTAATTTCATGTAAGGAATCATCAAAAGTTCCTTGGACTTTTCAGCAGAGTATAATGATCACATATGATGCACGACTTTCTCCTCCTGCTAATGGAGACCTGGAAAGGGAAGACTATGTGAGAGAACAAATCTGCAGCGTGGGGACGGGGACAGAAGTATTGGAGGAACAGGCTTCAGCCAGTTATCTTCTTTTCAATTAACTATTTATTGATGCATATTAGATGTGCGTATTTTTTAGGTAGATGTGATCATTGGTACATTCATAAAATCAAATCATGGTAACTGGGATAGGCATCATCTTAAATATTTGTCTTTTCTTTACCTTAGGAACATTTGAATGATTCTCTTCTAGCTACAGTATTTTGAAATGCAGAATTGGTTGATGTGGACCGTAGTCACACTACTACCGATCTACCAACGCCAGGCCTGGCTTCTTCCACCTAAGGGTATATGAGCCCAGGAAATCTGTCTCAGTCAAATGCATAAACAGGTAAAATAATACTTATTTTGCATGATTTCTGTCAGAATCAAAACAGATCTCAACAGAAGCAGCAGAGCGTACCTGGGAAACGCCTGTCAGATCACCAGATCCTGAGCCCCTCTGGCTGCCAACATCCCATCCATGGTCCTTTTCTGAGTGGGGGCAGGAATGTTTTAGCATTTCCATAGTAAACTTGCCTTTCCACTTACCTCCTCTGCAGGCCATCCCTTGCTCACTGTACCCTTAGGCAGGACCCCGGCTCTGCTACACCATGTACCATTCCTGCCCTACAGGGCACTGAAACTACAGGTGGGGCAGGTAGAGCACAGCGTCCACATGCCCATGTCACACCTTAACCTGCCCACCACTGTCCCTGCCCTGACACTGATTCCCAAGTCCTTGATGCCCCAGCCCCTTCACCCTCCCTGGCCAGACAGACACAGAGACATTCCCTCATTGGCACAAACTGAGGACTTTTGCACCCCTACCCCTCCCTGGACAGTGAGGAGTCTGTGTTTAACTCAGAACCCACTCTGAACTCAAAAGGCCCCCACCTGATGCTAGCAAGTATCCAGGCCTTCCCTTCAGTCTTCCTCTTCTGGGTCACCTGCCCTCCCCTCCCCAGGGTTCCCTGCAGCATTGCAGAGACACAGCACCTCCAAGTGGCTATAGATCCATAGTCTCAGAGATTTCCACCTTTTGACCTGATGAGCTCTGATTGGCCAAGTCAGTAACAGAGACCCCTACATCCTGCTCCTTCAACCCCCACCCTCTCACATACACCCTCTCTAAGCTTTCTTAGATAAGCTGATTTAGGGTTAATCTTCAAATCCTCCCTTAGCCAGCAGAGACAATAGGGTACGTTAACCAAGATTTTGATTGCAAAATTAATAGTTATTCATACAATAAGATGGAAGAGAGGAGCCTGACTAAGACAGGGCATACAATTAAACAGTGTGAAGATATCCAGCAGAATGATCTTGGAAACATATTTAAAATCTCCTTTTGATTTATAAGATACATGTGTCTTCACATTTAGTATTTAGAGTCATTATTACCAAATTTTAAATAGTGCATTTTATAAAGGGAGTTTTTAGGTTTTACATATTTAGTTCTGAATTTATAAAAAGTCTTGAAATAAGCAACCCATCAGCTATAACCTAGGCAGATTGAGTGGTCTGACATTTCCCATCACTCCCCAGAAGTGCCTATGAGCTCCTTCAGTGACCCAGGGCATCAGTAATGCAATCCAAAAAGAAACTATTTTCATGTGGATGAATCTCCATGAGAAAACACACGTGTGCACACACATACACACACAAAAATATATACAACCACCACATACACACACTCACACACATACATACACAGCATCTTCTTATTTCAACATGATAAGACTCTATTACTGAGCACAGCAAATTTTTCTTTCAGTGTTTCAGGTTGATTCCTGAGCTGCACCCGGATGATGTTCCCATGCTCATGAGGATGTGGTTTTGGAAAAGTGTGGTTGTGGTGAGGAATTTCTTTTTCTGGATCATGGGACTGGATAAATATTATTATAACATATATTTCTTTGTTCCAAAAGGACATTTGCGAATTCCAGCTTTAGACACAGCTTTAGATACTCTGTCGTACTGGTCATTATCCTGACTGGAAAACGCATTTGCTCAGACTACTGCAGAAGTCGTATAGAAACTGAGACTAGCCATAATCACTCTCCATTACATTTCAGGTGAAAGGAGCCTCTTTTGAAGGGAAAACAGTTAGTAATATGTAATATTTCAGAGCTCTGTATAAGTGAACAGTAATTTATTCATTTCATAAACATCAAATGGTCTTTATTATATACCTGAATTTTCCTGTGGATGTAAAAGAAAGCAGATGATAAACTACAGTGCCAGGGAATGTCAGGGTAAGAAGCAAGGAGGAAGGTAGAAGTGCGTCAGTCCTTAATAGATGAGCAGTGCCTGGCCCTGTCTGGCAAGAATACAGTTTGTTCCAGGCGGTGGAAAGAGTGAGCACAAATAGGATGTAAAAGCCTGTAAAAACTCTAGCGTCTGTGAATTCCTAACCTGCCCTATTTCCTGCACAACCATACTTCCCTTTCCCTGAACAGATGAACTTTAGAAGACATGAGCCCCTGGAAAGGCAGGTGAGCTAGGTCAGAGGCTCTGGAAGCTTCAAACTTCTTCATTGCTTATGCTATCTTGCAGTATTTAATTTAATTGTTTAATCCCATTCTTGTTAAATGCTAATTTTTTTAAATAATGTTTTTAAAGTAATCATTTATTTTGTCATTTTTGTAACACTCAGCACTGTCAATCAGGGTTTTTACTCAGCATGAGATGAGCCCATAATTTCACAGAACTTCAATATTATTCCATCTCAGCAAAGACATGTGCCAATTTCCTCATTATGTATAGCTTGGGTCACATGCGTAATTTCCTTTGGTTGTTAAAAATATTAAAAAGAAATGGAGGACCTTGATATTATCTTTGAAAACCTTGGGTTAGGGAATGCTACCCTAGCCAGTTCTCATCTCCTAGTCTCTTTCTCTCTCTTTCCAGCTCTGATCCCTTGATTTCCCTGGAGCTGTTCCAGCCAAAGATTCTAAAGCTAAATTGAAATTACCAGGTGATTTTACTATTTCTTATACCGTCTATCTGTCGTCCAGCCCAGGACAGCAGCTCTAAACAACTTTGTTTTGCACTCGCCTCTTTAAACCTATTTATTGATTCGCTGATCCAAAACATGTGATTTTAATACCTTCCTTGTCAGATATACAATGTTAGGATTAATGGATAAAATGTCAACAAAGTCCCAACCCGCAGAAAGCACGAAGCTGAGAAGGATATGCATTTATTCAGTAGATATTTACTGCAAACGCGGAAGCAACTTTTAAAAAGATTGTAGGTTAAAAAACTCCTCAAGAGTGAAAAGGTTAAGAAAATGAGAAGCAAAACCAATGTAACAATGGTCTGTGTGATGAGTAGTCGTTAAGAATGATGGCAGGATTAGTAGCACACAGGAGCACTGAATGAGAAGAGTTCTGAAGGCGAAGCAGCAAGAGCAGCAATGAAGGGTCATGTTCTAATGTCCTGTGTGTAAACGAGTTGGGCTTCAAAGGAGGAAGGAAGATGATCTGGAGACAGCAGAGAGAAGCCCAAAGAGCAAGGAAGACACCAAAACAAGATATAAACACAGAGTAGCCTCTTGATGTACATTAAATTAAAAAAAGCATCCTGAATTACATTCTGCACCGTTCTTATCCTGAAAATCTTGGCCTCTAAATGACAAAACTAGGACAACGACAAGTGAAATCTGCCTATATGGAAGAACTCAGGGAAACCCAGATTGCCTATGGCACTCAAAATATAGGCATATTTTGCAACACTTGCCAATGATACACTGATAGGGGTTAAGAAGTAATCAGTATGTAAATACTGCTATAGAAGAAAGACTTTATAACACTTCAGAATGAATTGCAAGTGCTGTGTGGAAATGTGTGGCATAAACCAGAAAAAAAATACAGACTTGGGCGTTCAGGAGACAGCATCAGGGAGAAAACAGGGCAAAGTTAGACTGGCCAGGTCTGTGTGTTTTTTTATATTACTTATCTGTGTGTGTGTGTGTGAATAGGGGTCTTACTCTGTTGCCCAGGCAGGAGTGCAGTGCAATGATCATGGCTCACCGCAGCCTCCACCTTCAGCACTCAAGCGATCCTCTCAGCTCAGCCTCCTGAGTAGCCAAGACTGCCGTACCTGGCTAATTTTTTTTAAAATATATTTCCACAATCATAGAAAAGAACTTTATTTCACAATAAAGAGCACTTGAGGGGGAAATTTCTGTTCACAGTTTAGAGTGAGAGAAGTGGGCAGAGTAGTTCTGAAGACATAGCCATTCTCAAGAGCTCCCAACTTCTGAATGGATGGAGGGCGATGAATGGAAGAAGGCAGGGAAAGCTACCGTATCAATGATTAAGGTTTACCCTACCTGTGTGTGAGTTCTGACTCCATATACAATCTGCAAAACACATTTTCTACATTATCTCCTACACAAGATTTTGTATGTTAAAATTGTACCATCTTCTGTCTTTGCCATGATCCAAACCCACTTAAATATTCTTGTGAGGAGGGAGGAGCAGGAAAGACTTTGCTCGGGACTGCTGGGAGCTGTGGGGAGAAGAGGAAGCACCAGGGTTTCTACACAGAGAGGGGGTGATTCTGCAGCGCTGTGGCTAAGCGGCTTGCACAGATGTACACAGCGGAGTCCTCCTGCTCTGTAGATTGAATCTTCAGAGTAGAGAACGATCCATCAGGCCTCTCAGCTGAGAATCGATCCTTGGGCATCTGTTCGTCATCTATAATAGATCGGCTGCGGAAGTAACACAGCAATTCCAGTCCCTGCACCAAGGTCTGTCTGTACCAGAAAAGGAGATTGTGGCCTAAAATTGGCTCACATCTCAGAGTCACTCCTTGTCCCATTTCTGTCACCTCATGCTTGGGTGACTGGATAATGCCAGCATCTGTGCATGCTATAAAAGAAGGCAAAAATAGGAAACAGAATAAGGAAAATAAAAGTAGTCCTCTACACAGAGGCCCAGCATGAAGAATAATAAATATGTGAGGACTCACTGGCTACCAGGATACAAATGGACACACAGAGGGTCCAGGAGTCCATGGTGGCGTGAGAGCAGGTGTGGCACATTCCAGACCAGGGTTCTTATGCACATAAGGAAAAAAAAAAAAAGATACTTTGGGACATTTTACCCCACAAGGTGCATCTGTCAGTGACATCACTGAATGGGCCACCACCCCCAACTTGAAAACTCCTCTAAGCGGAGGTTACATTTTTGGGAGATGAATCAGGCAGGACTGAACTCAACTGTAATTGATCTGAGATACAGATGCACACTTGCAGATGCTCCCAGTAGATTTGTTTTGATATTATCAATTCATAGTACCTTCTCCAGAACATGCCTTACCTAGGAGCCTGCCAACTACAACCATCTGCACCTTAGACTCCAACTGTTTAAAGATGAACTCATTGTCTTATTGCAAGCCAGCTTCTCGGCCAACTCTCCTATTCCTCTCACTGGTGGCTCTGTGCTCCTAGTCCTTTATATGAACTTAAATGAGTTAGAAGTTAGCATTTGAGTTACCCAGGAAGAGCAATCATGTCAACTGCGTTGTTAGAGAGAAAAGAGCCGAGTTGGTGTCCCGAAAGCTCATTAGATTTCAAAGTTTTTCTTTGTAGTGAAAGGCCTCTCTTGAGTTTTTTGATCCTTGAACTCTAGTAAGTTTGCAAAGCCCAGAGCACAGAATCTCTCACATTCTTTGTGCACACGATAAATCAGAAAGAAGGCTGTCTTTTTCACAAAGATTTGGAAATTAAATCTTCCAAAGTTGATTTACATCTTATTTTTACCTCTAGCAAAGCTCAGCATTTCTTACTCTTTGCACCTGGCCTTTTTCTTATAAAACAGTCTTGCATCTCACTAACGAACTTCTCTCAGGGTGTAGAGTGTACAGAGCTGAGAGAAGCCTCTGCTCTGTGGAGTGGTCAACTAGGTTATTTATTTGGTAACAACAAAGAAGGAGTAGTTTAAGGGCACATTTTTGCTGTTGGCACAGAGGCATACCGCTGAGTCCCCTGCACCCCAGGGCACTTGCTGATCATAAGGAGCAAATAGCTTACAGACAAGCTTGTATGATCTGTGGTGTCTGTTTTCTTGCAGGCTCCAACCCTTCGTTGTGTGTGTTAGATCCAGAATGCAAAATGGTGGTCATCAATCTGTTTTCAAGGTCCCCAGTGTGTTTTCCAGCCTGTTACCAGGTGCCTAGGTTTGGGAGGCAGTGTGATGGCCCTTCAGGCATGCCCAGGCCTAATCCCTGGAACCTGTGAATGTGTTAAATTACCTGACAGAGGGGAATTAAAGTTCCAAGTGAAGCGAGGTTGCCAATCAACTGACCTTAATAGAGGAGAGTGTCCTGGATTTTCCAGGTGGCCCCAGTATAATCACAAGGGTCCTAAAATGTGGAAGAGGGAGGACGAAGAGTGAGCGTCAGAGTGACGCAGAGTGAGCAAAGGCTCAGCCAGTCCTTGTTGGCTTTGAAGATTGAATGGGGCCGTGAGCCAAGGAATGGTGGTGGCCTCTAGAAGCTAAAAAACGGAGAAAATCAGTGCTCCCCTAGAGCTTTGGGGAGGAATACAGCCCTGCCAACACCTGGATTTTAGCTCAGTAACATCCATTTTGGACTTCTGACCTGCAGAACAGTAAGGTAATACTTGTGTTATTGTAAGCCACCAAGTTAGTGGTAATTCATTACAGCAGCCATAGAAATTGGGTACCTTATAGTAGCCATGGGACTCATGGGAGGGAGAGGTAAAAGCCGATACAACATACTGGTAGAGTCAGATGCACGATCACATGGAAAAACTTGAAATCAAGCCAGGTGAAACCAATAAACAGAATTTTTATACGCCTGGACCCCACCTTCTTCCAGGGACACAGAAGCTTCTGGAGAAACAGAGTTAGAACTAGATCGGGGCATTTTCCTGCTCAGAGCAAAAGTTCTTAGGGGAGAAAACTCTGTCCTACTCCATCCTAAGCCTTGCTAATAAGTATATATGCTGTTGGTAGCATCACTGGGATTGCAGCTCCCTAGGGACAAGGTCCCTCTGACATGGTCCAGGGTAGTGCCTCTGATTCTACCTGTTCTTCCCTCTACATTCAACAGAACAGGTAGGGCTGGCCTGAGCTGGTTTGAGGCCAGGCCATATGAGGCTCCTGTGACACAGAAACTGCTTCCCTGCTTTCCCCACCCCAGAACATGGGTGCTACACCACCCCAACTCCTTGTGCCTCCATGTCTTAAGTGAGCTCAGAGGTGTATCCACTTGCAAGCACACCTGCCACTCAGAGCCTCATTCAAATCTCAGCTTAAAACAAAACCCATCTCCACATCATTAGAGGCAAAAGGGTTGGTCTCTAATCCCTTTATTCTCAGACTTCATTGCAGACACCTCCAACTCAGCTCCCTGAATCCAGGTCCAACTCCAGGGTTTCCATTAAGGATCCTCCAGGGAGCAATGCCAGCCCCTCCCCCACAGACTCTGGCTAACAATGGAGCCACAGAGCCTCCTAGTGTCCAGTAGGCAGGAACACCACAAATGTGTTCTTTGTCAAGACACAGGGGACTTGCACTTCCCTTTATTGAGCTATGGGGAAAAGAGATACCATAATTTGTTGGTGTCGGAGGGACATAAAACAATGTTATGACCTAAGATGAAACCACCTGAGAGATGGACATTACAGTCTGACAGATGGAGACATAATTCAGTTTAATATCCATAAACAACAACCTGGCTCAGATGGGAGAGCAAAAAACCAGCCAACACTGTCTTGAATCAGAATTTAACCCATTCTCTCTCCCCTCCAAATTATAGGCAGTCCCTGTAAGGAAAAGAAAATTCCCTACTGATCTTAATGCATTTTGAAAAAGCACCAGATTTGGCAAACAATAGAAAGAATGAAACTGGAGTATTAGTTTATTTTCTCCCACTATATGAATGCTAGCTATATCTGAAAACTCACTTCTTCCCTGGGAAGATGAGGAATAAGGAAAGGCTGCTGTGAGCTGATAGAGGAGAGGAGCCCTGCAGTTTTCTGCACAGGAGGGAAGTGTCTCTGCAACGCTGTGGCTAAGCTGCTGGCACAGAGATACACAGCTGAGTCCCCAAGCTCTGCAGGCTGGATCTTGAGAATGGAATCTACTCCTTTGAGCCTCTCTGCAGAAAATCGATCCTTAAGCAACTGTGAGTCATCTGCTACGTCCTCATTGTGATATTGAATCAGAAGCTTTGGGCCCTGTCCCAGGATCTGCTGGTACCAGTAAAGGCCAGCATGGCCAGATACAGGATCACACCAAAAAGCCACAGCCTGCCTTTTCTCTGTGATCTTATATCTGGGGGACTGGGCAACTCCAGCTTCTGTGAGTTCTGTGAAGGAAAAAGACAAAATTTGAAAATAGAAAGAAGGAAATAGTTGAAATAATCACTGAGACATCCAATGTGCCATGGTGTTCCTAGGACTCACCTGTTCCCAGGAGACAGAGGGCCACCCAGCAGAGGAGCCTGGTGCCCATGGCAGGGTCAGGACAGGATGGGAGCTTTGCCCAATTAGAGTCACTGTGAGCAGGAGCAGAGGAGGAGGGATGTCCTTGTCCTCTCATGGCAGTTCCCACAGTGACATCATGGCCTCCACAAATGCCTACGTTCTTAGAAACCAATTATTATAAGCTAAAACAGAGCACGGAGTTGCTTGACCATATTCATAGACTGTTTAAGTTCATCCAAGTGTTCTCACTCACATCTCTAGGGCTTGGGGGATTATGTCTCTCACTACATCTCTAGGCCCATTATCTGCTGGATGTTTCTAGTTGAAGACAACTCGAAATAGAGATATCAATTAGTGACCTCTTTGTCTTATCAGCAATTATCCTTCTCTTTGGACATTTCTTTCCTTCTTTCTTTTCTTTTTTTTTAGATGGAGTCTCGTTCTGTTGCCAGGCTAAAGTACAGTGGCATGATCTCAGCTCACTGCAACCTCCACCTCCCGGGTTCAAGTGATTCTCCTGCTTCAGCCTCCCAAGTAGCTGGGACTACAGGTATGTACTACCACGCCCAGCTAATTTTTGTATTTTTAGTGGAGACGGGATTTCACCATGTCGGCCAGGATGGTCTTGATCTCTTGATCTCATGATCCACCTGCCTCGGGCTCCTAAAGTGCTGGGATTACAGGCATGAGCCACCTTCCCCAGCCGGCATTTCTCTTTTACTAGGTTCTCTATCTTCCTGGTCCTATGTGTGTAGAAGCTGAGTTAACTGATACAAGTTTATCCTAGAAGCTTGTTGAACTACCCAACATGCTGTAAGCTAAAAGGTTAAAATAACACCCTGAGCACAGAGTTGGAAGAGTTCATTTTTAGTGAAGACCAATGAATGAGCAGTTTCCTCTTTGCCATTATCAGTCTTCATGATGCATTACGTGCAAAGCCTTCATCATGGTTCTGCCTGTAGTTTTGGGATAATAAATGTAATAAAATGTAATAAAAGTAAGTTCTGATTTTTTTTACCTAAGATGGGTGGGGAATTCTCCTATCCCTGAAAATATCAATATATATTGTAAGAAATACCAAATCAAACAGACTTGCTGAAATCTAAAAATAACGTTATAGCTACACCTCTAGTGTAAATTACAGTTGAACTATAGTCATTGTCTGACTTTTTTTTTCTAATGAGGCAACATTAGTCACAAACACACTTTTATTCATTAACTGAGTAATAAGAAATAAAAGGAGTTAGGTGATGGCACCCCTTAGAGTCAGCATAAGTTAATAACACAAGGAGATGCATGTCCAGAGAGGTGGGAACGGGGACATATGTGTTCAGTGAGACAAGCTCAGAGATATTCCACCAAAACCCCAAAACCTACGGGATACATGTCAAGGTTATCAGGTGAATACCTGTGGGTATAGAATTACCAGAGCCATCTGCTTCTGTCATAAATTCTCTGTCACTGAGGTAAACAGCTACTGGTTTGAGTTCAACTTATGTAGCACCAGGTAATAACAGCAGGATGGAAAATTTCTTCACATTAAGGGGCCACTACCTGCTCCATCTTTGTGACCAGGGTTATGGTTCTGGGTGACAACAGCATTCAGGGGATGGAGGCTGGTGGCTGGAAACAGGACTTATCCATCTAACAAACCTATCAATCACAGGACCCACATGTGATGTGCTTGCAAGGGAGGCATGCCAAGTCCATGGATGGCATTCCTCATTGTTCCTGGGTCTCACCTGCTTCCTGGGAAACATGACTGAGAAATCTATGACAGAATCCTTATCAAGGCAGGAACAGGTCATCATGCTGCTCAGGGAAGAAAAGGCCAGAGCCCTGGGAAATCTGTTTTTTGTTAAGAATATTTGTAGTGTTACAAATTTCCCGCAATTTGGAATAGC